TTCATTCATGCCCTTTCTCAATTAATATCATCACTAGCTTCTAACCCAGAAATAACTACTACTCTGACTTCTATCACTATAGATTGTTGTGTCCTGTTCTTGAACTTCGTGTAAATGGAATTATAGCCTTTTGTATCTGGCTGCTTTCACTCATTATGTCGGAAGCTCGTCCACATTGTTTGTGGCAGTAACTCATCCTTTTTTATTACTGAGTAGTATTCCAAGGTGTAAAATATTGGGTCATTTCTTGTTGTTATGAGCTTTCTTGAACTTGTCTCATATTCAACATGTTGTCTTGAATCATTTGGGTTCTGCAATAAGAACTTTAAAGTTCCTTCTTTAAGCAAGCTGCATTTTTACACTCATCTTCATGTAAAACAGCTTATGCCTACAACTCATGACCTTCGGGCCGAAGGTTATGACTAACTCAGAAATGAGGCATTGCTGATCAGACTTATGGTAAAAATATTATTCACCATAGTAAAGATGGTTGAGTCAGTGGTTGACCCAGTCATGGGATCCACTCAGGACGCCATCAGGGTGGGGAAAACTTGCAGTTTAGCAGTCAGGGTTTCAAATCAGCATTCCCTTCTCTAGAAGATTCTATCACACATTTTGTGGTTTTTTGGTCAGATCTTTTCTAAAACAGGGAATCTCACTCCTTTAAACTCAAAGCTTTCTTTTTAAGATTATTTTTAAAATTTTAACAGCAGCAAAATAGGAACAATAATAGTATCTCTCTGGTTAAATACTAGTGAGGGAGGGGAAAACTAGTCAGGGGAAGTCACTCTTTCTGTTGACAGAGATAAAGCTGACAGGAATTGAGAACTAATCTTTAAATAACTTCCTATAATTGTTAACGCATAACCTCACTCATTCATATTTTAAAATTGCCTTAAAGTACTGCTAAAAATAAGGGTAAAGGGACCAGGAAAAGATCATAAGACTTTCCAGACTCACTAATTACATACATTTTTAATGAAGGGCTGAGGATAGTCAGGGAGTCTGGAGAAGGTCTCTCTCTCTGTTATTGGTTTACCCCATGGTGTTCAGTAGGTTAAGCAGAGTCAAGAGGCAGGCTGGGGCCTGGGTGTGGAGTTAATTCCAGTGACTTGGGAGGTTGAGATAGGAGGATTGCAAGTTTGAGGCCGGCCTAGGCACCTTAGTGAGACCCTGTCTCAAAATGAAAAATAAGTCTGGGGAGGTAGCTCAGTGGTAGAATGCCCCTACATTAATCCCCAATACAGGGGGGGAAAAAAAAGAAAGAAAAGGAAAAGAAAAAATGGCAGAGGTAGGCCAGCTGGGCTGGAGAATGTAGAATTTATTTTTCTAATTTTGCCCATAGAACATATATCTTACTATGTTTTGTGTTCCTGTAACAGAATACATGAGACTGGGTGTTTTATAAAGAAAAGAGGCTTATTGCATTCCCAATTTTGGAGGCTGAAAGTCCTGGGTCAAGATGCCAAGAACAGAGAGTAGCATATGTGGATGAGGTCACATGGCAAAAGAGTCTTCTCATCTGAAGATGAGCAGGGCTCACTTTTTTTTTTTTTTTAACAGTGCTAGGAGTCAAACTCAGGGTCAAAAACCTACTCATGCTTAATGCACTGGAGAGTCGCTCAAAATTTATTTTTAAATATTTTCCTTCATTTTGCCAATATATATATATATATATATATATATCTCCCACATCAAGAACACAGCTTCAAAAATATACCTTTGAGTCATGTTTTAAGATCCAATACCTAATTCAAAAATTATTTTTTGTGTGGGTTTTTTTTTGTTGTTGCTGTTATTTTCCTTTTAGTGTCTATTTAATTTCATTAATGATTACTGGCAATGTCTTCACTAGAATTCTGAGCAATAGCCTTTGTGTTCTGTAAGAAAATGCTCCTGGATTTTCAGAGAGAGCAATGAATGGGTATAATTCAGAAAATACCATAATGGAATATGTGTTAAAATGTTAAGTTCAATGAAATTTCTGAATTCAGTTTCATTCAATTTCTGAAGTAATGTTTAGAATTTAGCTATTACTTTTAAACACTGGTAAAATATTTTTATGTTGGGATGGGGTTGTGGCTCAGCGGTACAGCAATCGCCTAGCATGTGTGAGGCCCTGGGTTTGACCCTCAACACCACATGAAAATAAATAAATAAAACAAAGGTGTTGTGTCCAACTACAATTAAAAAATAAATATTAAAAAAATATTTTCGTGTACCCTATGAAAATCAAATTGTTGCTTCAAGACTTGCTGAAAGCATATATGTAAAAATAAGTAAATACAAATAATGAGTATTTGTGCACTTAGGTAGAGAATCTGTTTAAAAATATAGTAATGGTGACACATATATTAAACATTTGATATGTAACAGGAAAAAAAAAATAACAAAATCATAGACCCATTAGTAGAATAAAGTTTGAAGTTCTATTCAGGATCCCCCAAATCAACACATTTACCAACAGAGTTGAATTGTTCACTCTAAAATCCCATGCTATTAAAAATCACAGAAATAACGTCTGACTGAAAACAAGCAAAAAAAATCAGCAAAGGCAAACTGGATAGTATATTAACTTTATTTTGAATGACAATGTGGAATGTGTCATCAAACAAATACATGTAATGAAAATTTTCTGTAGTTTAAGTAAGCAGATGATTTGCACTAAGACTTGATAGTTTTAAGTCCTAGGATGCAGAGCTAATTGAATTGTGAATTAGGTAAATGTAAAATAAGAATCATTTACATGTGGTGCAAACTAAAATGTAATTTTTAAAAGAACAGACCTTCTGTTCGGTCTTTGGTAGTTGATTGATCATCATTGCCGCTGTAGATAATATAATAATTTCCTATAGTTCAAATGTGTTCCTTCTAAGCTAGACACCTCCTACCTATAGTAAGAGGCCTTCATTAAATATTATTAAAGCTACTAGATTCATTTTTAAGGCCCTAATATTATTCAAGAACATTATCCACTTAACACATCTAAGGAATAGACCAATGACAACATACTTTAAAAATATTAAGTCTGTGATTTTGTCTTTGGAAAATTTGTCATTTACCCATTAAGCGGTTCTGTTTTGGATCAGGATGAGCAACTATTTTTGGTATAAGGGCTAACTAAAGGGAAAATTATAAAGCATTTAAGGCCACATTATTTTCTTCTTAAAAATGAATATAGCTTTTTGAAATTCCCACAGGGGAAAATGTGTGTTTGTATAACTTTGCTGAATAAAAGAATGTCAACAAGGAAATTGGCACTGCTTTGTAGCTACCAAAATGTTTATATTGAGTGTTTTGGCAACACAGAGCTTTCTAATCTTTCATCTTGGAATTAGGCTGAAGATTTCTGTATAGCTAGTCAGGTAATAGGTATCTCTGAAGGCTGTGGCTTTGCTTGTGACATTGATAAATATGCTTATTTTTATTGTATTAATCATAAGAATGTAAGAGAATATCTTGTACTTTCAAAAATTACATTCTATCATTTACTGACTTAAAGATGATGCTTTTAGCACCACTGTAAATTGATTAAACAAAACTTATTCTGGGATTATAATATTTCTGTCCATATTAATGTGTCTTTACACAGAACATTGGCTAGAAACCAGAGCAAAACAGGAGCAAGAAAATTAACAATGTATTTAAATAACAGAAATACTATTAGAATTTATTATGGGAGATTATAGAAAGAAGGTTTAGTTTTGTGTGTGTGCAGTTAGGCACCGACAGAGGCAGTTAGACACCATTGATCATAAAGTGCATTCAATGTAAGTTTTAATTCCCCTTAAAAGAATAATTCAATAAAACTCAGAATTCCTTCTTGGAATCCATCAACCCAAGACCATGCATAGATGAACACTTACCAAATACTAACAACCATCTTTTATAACTTATACTCCTGCAATAGTGATAGCATCGTGTACTTGCATATATCATATTTTATCTGAGGACCTCAGTCATTGTATCAAGCGGTGTGGTATTGGAAGCTCAAGATTCCACAGCATATTAGGTCTACTTATTTGTTGTATGGGAAATAGACTCCCAACAATAGAACCAAAATAAAATCTCAAAAGAGACAAGCCTACATTTCTTATAGTTTATAATTTTCTGGATTTTCAAATTTGCCACTTGTATCCTAACATACCTACCATGTTGACTAAGTGAAAAGGATTTTTACATGTCAGGAATAAGATTAGCATTAACCAACAAACATATGGGTTGCCCATTCTATAGTTCAACAGTCCCTCTTAAATAGCTCATGGTGGCTGTCAGAAGTGGCTTTCCCTAATGTATGCTTGCACGTCATTGATTCTCAATTATCATGGCTATGATCTTCGGTGGAAGAAAACATTTAACACTGAAATGACATACGTTTAGGTCCATATATGTAAAATAGGATGCATCTACGTATTTTAGCACACCTACATTTAACACAAAAGCAAAAGTGCATCAATTCATTGAAAGGTCAATCTTTCGGTTTTTAAAAGGAACAAAACTTTGTGTCTCTTTGCATACTATTGAAAACCCTGTCCAACTTTGAGTTTAACTCTGAGACACAAGTTAGCCTAGCAGCAAATGAATTTCTGTGGAATCCATGAATATGCTAGGTCCCTGGGAACTGAGTTTCAGGGCAGTGTAATAAACTCACTGTAAGTGAGGGGACAGGGACCTTGAGCTCTTCTGTTCTTGACTCAGCTCTTTGTTAGGGTCCCACAGGATGGGCATTCTAAGCATGTTCTTTTTTAAAAGCATTTTCAACATTGAAAAGTGTGTGTGTGTGTGTGTGTGTGTGTGTGTGAGAGAGAGAGAGAGAGAGAGAGAGAGAGATACTGGGGATTTGACCCAGGGGAGCTCTACTTCTGAGCTACATCCCCAGCCCTGGTTTTTATTTTTATATTGAGACAGGATCTCACAAAGTTGCTGAAGCTGGCCTTGAACTTGCGATCCTCCTGCTTCAGCGTCCAGAGTAGCTGGGATTATAGGTATGTACCACCACACCTGGCAAAAAGCACTTTCTTTTTGGACAATGTGGTTTAGGTTTCTACCTTTCTGTCAAACATGAGACTAACTTAGCTTTTCCTGTGTCCTTCTTTACTTCGGAGGAGACGCAATATACGTTCATTATTGGTGAGTTCTGCCGGAAGTTCATTGGCCTGAAAACAAGATGAGATGGTCATTAGTGATTTCCCATAGCTGGTGTGATTTCAGGGACTCCAAAGAGGGCACCTGACCCACAACTTTCTCCTTCACTAATGAAAAATCCCCATTGGACACTCTTGTGTATTAAGGCAATAAAAATCTCCTTTAAGCATATAAATGTTACCTGTTACTTTCTGATCTCAGTGTTATTTTTCTTTCCATCCAGGGCCTTAAGAATCTCCTGGAGTTTTTTGGTAGGACCTACGTTGTAAAAATCATTATGTCCTCATTTCCAACACAACGTGTAGTGCATCTTATTTCTGCTCACAAACACTAGTCAAGTTAAAGTTGATACCTTATTCTTAATTATTTATTATGTGAGGTGGTCTGTCCAATAGGGACTTAGGACACAGGGCAAGTATCTTTTCTTTCTTCTGCATTCCAATTTATTTAATTCATTTATTATTTTTAAAATTGTACACATTTATGAGCTACAATGTGATAATTTGAATATACAAATAAAGGGTATTGATCAAATCAGGGTGATTAGCATTTCCCGCTCCTTAGACAGTTATCATTTCTTTGTGTTGGGAAGCTTCAAACACCTCTCTTCTGGTTCTCTAACAAATGTATAATAAATTGTTGTAAGCTATGCCATCCGGTGCTGTAGCACACTAGAATTTATTCTTAACCAACTGTATTTTGGCACCTGTTATCTGATTCCCTCTATTATCTCTTCCCCACCCCCCCCTTTCTAGTCTCTAGTGACCACTCTTCTACTTTTTGCTGCTATGAAATCAACTTTTCAGCTTGCACCTATAAGTGACAACTTGCAGTGTTAGGACACGTATCTGTGGATGAGAAGGCAGAGTTAGGAAACACACAGAGCAGAACAAAACCCAAGAAAGAAGAGCTTCGTGGCTACGACCTTCACCTGAACCAGTAACTCAACACAGGTATCCCCCATCACCTAAAGTCTTTTCTTTTCTCATTGCTATGGAGACAGTCTCCAAACACTCAGGAATCCAGTTCCTCCCACAGGTAATAGGTGTTATAGGACAATGGTTTTCAAGCTTTTGTAGTCTCAGGACCCTTGCCTATGCTTAAAAAATATTGAGCACTCTAACAAGATTTTGGTTTTGACTTATTAGAAATTAAAACAGAAAAAATTTTAAATATACTTCCTAATGTATTGAAAATAATAAAGCCATTACAGATTAGCATATATAACATATTTATGGAGAAATAACTACATTTTCAAAACAGAAAAAAATGAGTGAGAAGAGTAGCATTGTTTAATAGTTTTGCATAGGTCTTTAATGTGTAGCTTAATAAAAGACAGTTGGAGTCTCATATTTTCTTCTGCATCAGTGTTTGGTGATATGTTGTTTTCGTTGAAGCACAGGAAGAAAATTCAGCTTCATACAGATACAGAATTGGAAAAGGGAGGAGATTTTAACAGGTTGGTGGATCTCTGAACTATTCTTCTTGGATGCTACACCAAACTTCAACAAGAGGTAGTTTCTTAAAGTTTAACTGCAATGTGAGACCTGACACCACATCAATGAACTTTTAATTCTCTGCTACATTAAAATCCACAAACATGGTAGTGTACACCTGTATCCCAGTGGCTTGGGAGGCTGAGGCAGGAGGATCACAAGTCCAAAGCCAGCCTCAGCGACTTAGCGAGGCCCTAAGCAACTCAGCAAAATTCTGTTTTTTTTTTAAATATTTATTTTTTAATTGTAGCTGGACACAATACATTTATTTTATTTATTTATTTTTATGTGGTGCTGAGGATCAAACCTAGGGCTACTCTAGAGCACTCTACCACTGAGCCACAACCCCAGCCCAAGATTCTGTTTTAAAATAAAATATAAAAAGGGTTGGGGATGTGGCTCAGTAGTTGAGTGCCCCAGGTTCAATCCCTGGTATAAAAAAAAAAATCCACAGGTCCATTTATTGATAGGTGAATCTTTTACCCATGCATTATTTGTGACATCATGCATTGCTCATTTGGAAAACAGTTCACAGAGTTATGTAGATCTTCCGAATCTTGACACATTTTGTTGTGCAATAGCAACATACATTAATATTACGACTGATTTTTCAGAAAAGCCTTTTTGGACTGTCAGCCTTGAACTTGTGGTGGTGCATAGAAGTTGTTCTTTCAGGTATAAATGGCGTTCTATGAAAAAAAGTGGCTGGTTCACTCTGCAATACAAACAACTGCAGAGGGACTTTCTTTCAAAACAATTATTGTACTCCAGTGGGCCGCAAAAATGCATTATCCATTTTATCACACAGAATATTAAAAGATGTTCAGCAAAAGTTAAGGTTTAATACAATTAACATTTTTTTCACTGCTTCAACAAAGACACTTTAAAGATCAATAGTTTTGAAAAGTAATTGACAAAATTTGTAAAATAACTTACAAAGGATTGCAAACTGTTTTGCCAGTATCATTTAGTGCCCCTGCTTTGAAGTGTACCACGTCGCCAATGTGCTTGCCCCCTGTTGCTTTTGCACCATTGGAACAAATGTCCATATGGTGAAAAAGGCAGTTCATCTTTGTATTATCAAGAATACTGTGCTGACTCTTTAGATCCCTTGAAAAGGTTTTGAAGACCTTCCTGTGTCCACAGACCACACTTTGAAAACAGTTGTTATAAAGGAATCAAAAACATGTTTTGGGGCCAGATCATAAAAGAGTAAAAAGGTACACAGAATGGTGGGAGGGAGGGCTTGCATATAGACGTTACCTGCTTCATGTATTTTTTCTCATGGACCATCTACTGCTTTTTGGAACTTGATCCTAGGTGAAGCGCCTGCTGTCCTCGTCATCTAGGCTGGATCTTGTTCCCTGACCCCTGCTTCCCTACCTGCTGGCTGGGACCTCACTTGTGGGGAAGTATGACTTTGCCACAGCGGTCTGCTGTGTGGCATGTTCTGTAGCTGCGCTCGTGCCCACCACATGGGACCTTTGATGTTGCCCCTGGACTGAATCAGAAAGGAAACTGCTATGCTATGCCAGAGGCCCTTTCATGAGGTCAAAGTCTACTATGTGCTTAGTTCCTGCAAGAGCAGACATTGCACAAGCTTAACACCTGGGCCTGCAGGGAAATGCTCCTGATAAACAGACCTAGCTTCACTCAGTCTCCAGAGTAAACACTCAGGAATAACTGAATTGATTATATCAGTTATTGATGAGCGGTGAGCACGCCAGAGGTGGCCAGATGAGCCACTGCAGTCAGGAGGAAGAAGGAACTATGGAGCTGAATGTCTATAAGTTTGCTCACTTCTCAGTGCCTTATGTGATCATCTGCCTGCATGTTCACATCCTTTTCCATGAAAAATGAGCTTTATTATTAAATTTTGCTTGAAGAATGTGTCTCAGCAGCAATATGAAAATAAAGGACTTAGGGTGATATGGTTTTATGTGTTCTAAAAACCTGGTTGTCCATCCTCCTCTCTTCTGGTTGGTCCCCACTTAATTCCCAGGTTGCCAAGGTTGTATGGATTTTCATGATGGCTGGTACCCAGGTTAGCCCTTCATGGCCATCTTATTCATTATGGAGCAGGAACCTGAGGCCCATATTCATATTCGACACTATCGCATCAAACTGCTCTACTTTCCCATTGTTTCTGGAAGAAAATGTGTTCTCAGTGCTCATTTAGGGATATTGGAAACACAAGACCCCTGTACCTAGGGCAGGGGTGGCTACAGTGCAAGGAGTGGCTATTAGGGTCACTGGTTAGTCCTCTCTCTGGGCATCTGGGCCTTGAAGCCCCAGAACAGAAGTGGTAGGACCCCTGGAACAAAAGAGTGCTTCCATACAGTTCAGAAGTTACTTCAACTTGGAAGCCTTTGATAGCATTCTCTACTTCCCTGCTTATAGCTCGTATCATTTATATTGCAATTGCTTGTTTAGTTGTTTTAATTCTCCACTAAACTCTGCGCTCCATGAAAGCAGAGATGATGTGAATCTTATTCATCACTGTATCCTCAGCACAAGCACTAACAGTGAATGATATCTACTAGGTATTCTATAAGTATTTGTTGAATGAATGAATGAAAGCCAAGAATACTATCTCAAGAGTCCTAAGAGGCTCACCCTTGCTTCTGGAGCTGCCATTAAAGACGATGGCTTCTCTAGGGTAGTTGGTAGACAGGTGAGGGCTTCCCAGAACTCTAAAGGCTTCAGTAGTATGAGGCTCCAACATGAGCACTAATATATACACTGAAGCAGTTTTAGGATAGGCCAAAGTTCAGCACTTTTCCCACTGGACATTACCCCAAACCACTATGATTGAAGATTATTGCATTATGCTGGGAGGAATTGCATGTTTCAAGTCTTATATTAAGGGCTAGGGATTGAATATGTCCCCCTTGCTTAATTCAGTCCTGGATAGTTCACCAACAAAGACTGACCTCTTCTGAAAGTCCATGCATAAGATCTAAAGGTAAGATCTAAAAGAAAGGCAACTGTGATCTCAACTGGCCACCAGGCCGGCTGGAGAACAGACCTGAGTATCCCAGGAAGAGATAAGCAGAAACGCTATCATCAAGCAATTCAAGGTTGAGAATAGGAAAAGAAAAATACTTCTATAATCTAAGTAAAACGAAAAAAAAATGACCCTTGACTTTGGCATGTTTTTTTTTTCTTTTAAAGAGAGAGAGAGAGAATTTTTAATATTTATTTTTTAGTTATCAGTGGACACAACATCTTTATTTATTTTTTATTTTTTTTTATGTGGTGCTGAGGATCGAACCCAGCGCCCTGCGCATGCCAGGCGAGCGTACTACCGCTTGAGCCACATCCCTAGCCCCTGGCATATTGTTTAATAGGCACTTCTTAATGGCTTCTTTTCAAAATGTCATGATATTATACGCACACACACACACACACACACACACACATACTTTTTTGCAATCCTGAAGATCAAACCCCAGGGTTTCATACATGCCAGGCAAGTGCTCTACCATTGAACTACACCCCAACCCCATGTTTTGTTTTTATTATTAAAATAATTTTAAACAGTAATAGATATTTATAAAATTCAAAGAGTGTGTAAGTATGGAGTAAAGTAAAAGTTTCTTTTCATACCTTTCCTTATTGATTAGTGCATCCTCTTTCAAAAATAGTAGAATGAAACAGACATTATTATTACTGTGTGTATATATGTGACTGCATGACCAGTGTGGTTCTGCAACCTGTATACTCAGAGAAATTATATCTCATCTGATTCAAATGTATGATATGTCGAGATCACTGTACTGTCATGTGAAACTAAGTAAAACAAATAAAAAAAAAGATCTTTAAAAAAAAATGGGTAGTTTAGATCTTTGCTAGGTTAGTCTCCTCACCCTGAATCTGTGCATGTGACAGCTGAGGCAGATGCTGAATAGGAGGAAGTACAATGACATTCCTGCTGTTGTTATTGTATACTCTCCAACTTCTAACTTTGGCCTAATGGTAACTATTTTTGTTGTTGTTGTTTGTTTTCATTTGTAGTGCTAGGGATTGAATTTAGGGCCTTGTGCATATTAGGTAAGTGCTCTACCACTGAACTACATCTCTGGCCCTGGCCTAACTGTAAAAAGGATTTAGGACTATAAAAAATATGAGTTTTGTAACAGTGACATGGGCTGCCTTTAACAATATAAAGGCAACATTTCCCCCACATAGTCACCGAACAGTGCAAACAATTCTTAAGACATGGACATCCAACTTATGGGAATGGTGGTTAGCTACCAGAACTCTGGCATTTTTAGGGCACATCTCTGATGACAGAACAATAATACTTTCTGTGTGTAATGGTGCACATCTGTAATCCCAGCTGCTCAAGAGGCTGAGGCAGGAGGATCATGAGTTCAAAGCCAGCCTCAGTAACTTAGAGAGGAACTAAGTAACACAGTGAGAAACTGTCTCTAAATAAAATACAAAAAAGGGCTGGGGATGTGGCTCAGTGGTTAAGTGCCCCTGAGTTCAATCCCCAGTACCAACAAAACAAAACAAAACAAAACACTCAAAACAACAACAACAACAAAAACCCAATAATACTTCCTCGCCATAATAACTGCTTGGCCTGCCTTTCTCATCCCTGCTGGAAGCCTGCACCACTGTTAACAGAAAAACCATTGATGACACAGGATTTTTAGTACAATTCCTTGGGTCCAAATTACTGTTCAGGAATAAACTATTTATAGCAACCTTGCATACACTACCCGTGCATAAGAATGAAAATAGGGATTGAAGCCAGAAAAATGCTTATTCTGGCTTGGGAGGATGTAGTCTTATCTCTTTGCACAAGGACCAAATGGGGTTAAAAGAAATAGGTACCTTGTTTCTCAGGGCTGGGTCGGCCCCTGCTTCCAGGAGAAGGGCAACTGTTTTAATGTTCCCACTGAGCACGGCCGCATGGAGTGCTGACGTCCCATTCTAGAAGAAAAAGACAGTGTGTGTCAGGAAGGAGCTCATATCAGCGCTTAGCTTGGCTTTCATCCTAAATTACCTCAGTGATGAGACTGTAATGTCAGAACCTTACTTGTCCTTACCTTCCCCTTGTACTTTTCAAAGTCATATCAGAACCTGCTATAGTATTCTCGGATACACAGCTTATGATAAGTATAAATATTGCCAGTGTTTTTTTTGCAAATGAAACAAGGAATCTGACCCACAGTACAGATAACTTCAGGCAGTTTTATATACTTTAGGAATTGCTGCAAAAATACCCAGCAATGCTGTGCCAAACTTTTTTTTTTTTTTTGAATAACACAGATAGTCTTTGTACATTTGGTGAGCGACTTCTAGCAGGGCCGGAGGAACAGCTGGCTGGCCAGTGGGACCACCTGTCAGCCCAGCTAGTCACTATGTCTGCCCACTCTGGTGGGCAGGGGTGGGCGTGCAGTCACTGCATTTAGCAAGAAGAATATGTGGGCTGAGGCATCCTCCCCCACGACTCTGGAGCTAGAATATTTATTTCTAAGCACAGAATGGCCCTACTGGATGAGTTACTAACATTATATGAAATTTGGTGAAAATGTTCATTGAAATAAGGAAGCAGCTAAATGTAGCATGTAGCTGGACATGGGAGGGGAGGGGAAGAGAATATAACCACTTACATAAGAATCATGGGCAACCACAGGACATTGGTTCCAGAGGGTACAGATGTATATAAACAGTACCCAAGTTCAAACTTAGTTTTGTAATTAATGACTAATAAAAATTATGCTGAGGTTGGCATGGTGGTGCATGCCTATAATCCCCGGCGGCTCAGGAGGCTGAGGCAGGAGGATCACGAATTCAAAGCCAGCCTCAGTAACTTAGCAAGACCCTAAGCAACTTAGTGAGACCCTATAAAAAGGAGCTAAGGATGTGGATCAGTAGTTTAGCGCCTCTGGGTTCAATCCCTGGTACCAAAATAAATATTTTTAAAAATTATGCTGGTTTTGTGGAAGAGGGGGAAAAAATCTAGCAAAAATAGCATTTTTCTATGGTTGCTTTCAAAAGTGTTATAATTTACTAATTTAGTAATATTTCTCAAATCTATATCTTAACCAGCCTATCAATGTTACCTATGAGCAACAGCTATGAATTTAAAAAAATTTTTTTAAAAGAGCTGTTTGAAAAAGACTGGATAATGTTTCTAAAGCTCCATCCCTTTTCTTCATAAAGTTCACTTTCAAAGATGATTTATTCCTACATTACAAATGATTTTAACAAGTGCAGTTTTCTGTCTTCCAAGTTCATGTAAGATCAGAAGTGGCTCAGTGTTGGAAGGACCCATACACTGACAGCAGCAGTTCTGTGTTAGCTGACGGCAAGAATGGAGTCGAAAACTCTAAAGGACAGACAGGAAGTGTCCCAAAAGCCTTCAAGGGCAAGTAGACTTTATGCACATTGACAGACTCTGAGGGCACAGTTCCCAAACTGCTAAGCCACTGTGCCAAGATGTGGCATCCTCTATTTGAGAAGACAGGAGAGGCATACATGTGGCCTTCTGTCTGCCAGTCAAGTCTATCCCACTGCCTGTTTTTGTATCCCTGCAAGCCAAGAACTGGTTTTGCACTTTTAAATGATTAAATACAGATTAAAAGAAGAATATCTTGTAATGTGAAAATACAAAATTCCATAAATATGGTGTCCATAAGTACATGAAGTTTTATGGGAAGTCAGCCCCATTTGTTATTATTGTTCCTGGATGAGTTCTCACCACCACAACAGTGTAGAGCAGTTATGACAGAAAACCTAAAATATTTACTATCTGGTCCCTTATAGAAAAAAGTTTGTTGACCCTCAGCATTCACTATAGTTTATAAATATTTTAATCTGAAAGTATTAAAACTTACTGAAGAGGATTGGGCCCTGTTTTGTGGAAGACCCAGAGGACATTTTTCTGAAGCTTTCAGATCTTTGAAGCAAATTTTATTTCATTTAAGGTAACCAAGCCCAGGGATTCTTTGCTTAGGATAATGAAGAGAAGAGCATTCTTCCTTGATTTCACAAATCTTCCAAATGATATCAATATGGTTTACTTTTCCATTTAGCAATTTCATTACAATTATCTTTTTTTTCCTAGAATACTACAGACTCAGTTTATTCCTCTTACCACCTTCTCATTTTTACTAGTACCCTTGGAACTCCAGCACCGTGAAGTTGGAGGTGTGTCTTCTTAAGAATGCCCTCCCCAGGCTGATTATACCCAAATTCTACTGCAGTCCCCAATAAGAACTTATTTTCTAACCTGTTACCTTTCTAGATTGTATCATTTCTCTTAGGTCTTACCTTCAAAATACCAAGAGTGGGAGAGAATTTAAGCAACTCCTCAATTACGTCATTATACCCTTTGTTGGCTGCTTTCAACAATGCTGTGGTACCGTCCTGAATAGAAACAGGAAAATAAAAGTTGATTATTAACATATGTCTGGGTTGGCTGAGAACTAAATGTCAGTTGAGAACTGCGAGTATAAGTGTGTTTGCCAGAAATAGGCAAAGTGTGTAAATGAAGCACAGATCAGCAATGTCTCAATCTCGGAGCAGTCTGGGGCATATTAAGCAGTTAATTCTGCGTGAAGAATATTAGACACAATATGTGATCGTTATATTAACTTAGAAGTCTGCATTTGGGAATTCATAATTCCCCAGTCCCTTAGAACATGGAGTCAGAGACAAGGGGGAATTTCAAGAGCATATTTTTAGGGTATTAATGGATTCAATACTGCTGCTGGTGACTTAGCAGAAATCATCTAACTGTTTTTAACCATTTAGATTATTGTTGTACTGTATGTACTGTTTTAAAAATTTATACAACTTTGCCCTAGTCTCCTCTGTGTACCCATTTGCCTGTGTTTGATGGCAGGGGGCCAGGTGGGTAGGTTGAAATCTGCTTAAAAAAAAAAGAATTTAAGGACAAAGTCAAGAATTAATATTCAGCTTCTGTCATCGCTTTTGGTACAAGAAGAGGTTTTTTTTTTTTCAAAGCTTCCTGCTTTGATTTATCACTTGCTGTCATTTGTAGAATTAGCTCTGGAACTTTCCTCTAGTCACCATTAGGGTTTATCTGGCATCAGGAAGAAGGAAGGTGGGCTTAACAGATTTTTGTTTTCTGGCTTCAGTGATGGTGGGAAGAAGAGAGTGGGAGAAAGGACATGTGAGCAGTCGGAAATGTATTTTAGGATTTTCCTTTTCTGGGCTTAGACTTGGAGAGGGGAAGGTGGGTCAGTCACATAGGCAAAGGTGATAGAAAGGTAAAGAGGTCAGGCACAGTGAGACAAAAAGCAAACAGCCTGGTGTGGGTAGAATCTCCCCAAGCTGCCTTTTAGTTCCCCTGGGGCAAAGGGCTTGTTCCAGGCACACCCAAGTGGATTAGGTGACACCTTGGGAAGCTAATGTGGACAGCAGGAGCATGGGAATGTGGTGCAGCAGTCTGCAGCTGCGGAGACCAGGGGTGAGATGCAGCCAGCCAGGGGTATCGCTTGCTTGCACACCATGCATGACCTTGCACACCATGCATGACCTTCCATGACCCACAGGCCGGAGGCCCAGCAAGATTCCGTGGCTCCCCACTCCGCCCAGAATTCATGGCACCATCGAAGTTTCCACCGACTTGGACTTTCACTTCGACTTTGTTTTCTTGCTAAAGAGCAGGTGGAGATGGGGAGGAAGCCCAGGTGAGTTGCAGACAAAGAAACACCCGACTTTCTGTGTACATCCAAGCCTGGTTGTGTGGAGTCTATTGGGTGGCTCCGATTGGTGGCTGCAGGGATCCCTCGGATACTCACATTGCGCGTGGCATCGCGGTCTGCACCCCGCAGCAGCATCACCCGCACCACCTCGCTGTGGCCCATCTGGGACGCAATCCACAGGGGCGCTGTCCCATCCTGCGGGAAGAGGAGGCCGCCAGTGTGACTTCGGTGCTTGACCCCAAGTTTCCGAAACCAAAAACCCTGGGAAAGAACTTGATAAAGGCAGATTGACCCTCCGACTGATTGATATGCTCCCAAGAAGTCTCCAGTGAAGAAGAGAGTGTTCTTAACCCATTGACATACACTGGCGTTTGGCAGTGCCTGGACTGCTTACCTGACTGCCAATATCCAATTTTGGGCTTATAAAAACTGTCATTTAGGGTTAGACATTTAACCCCAGAGTGTGGTACAGATTTTGAGGAAGGCTGTGTGGGAACTTTGCTGGGATCTTACTGGGAATGTGCAGGGGACAGCAGGGCGCACCAGGCAGAACAAGATTGCAAACATCCAGAAAGAAGCCAGGCTGTCTTTCCCTTCCTCTTCCTCCAGACCACTAATTTCTTTTCTGGTGCTCAGTCATGTGCACACAATGCATCCTGCCTAGTGAAAGTCCTTTGTAACCACAGGAAACTGAGAATTGTCCTTTAAGGTAGAGTCAGAGAACTCAAGACATTTCTTTTTTATTTTCTATACTCATGTCCCCCACAGCCACATCATGTTTTAAGGGAGCTTATGTTCATTTTATGTGAAGGTAATGTTGTGTTTTCTAGCAGGTGACACACCCTGGCGAGTTAAGCAGGGCAATATTTTTGGTAATATTTCTTTTTATTATTCCCCAACTTCTTTGGGAACAAGAAGCCCCGAGGCTGAAATAATGACTCCAGAGAGGACAAGGTGAAATACCCAAAGGATGGAGGATTTGACAGTAGGGTGGGTCCTGCCAGGGATACAGAAAATGGAAAAACCCACTCGTGTAGGAAGGAGAAGCAAGAGAGGTGGAGTGTCCACACTTTCCTCCCCTTCCGGGTTGAGTCTGGTTGTGTGGAGACAGGAAGGTAAGTAATTTAAGGGTGGAAACACCCAGATAAATTATGGGGAATTCCAGATGGGGAAGGATTGTCTCCTTTTCTTGGGATGGAGCCCAAGAAAATCATAAGTGATTTACAGAAGCTCTGTTCTTGGCTAGTGCCTGAGAGATAGAAAAGAAATGGTGATGAGACTTGTCACCATTGACCGTGGACCTGAAACATCCCACAACCCCTATGACCCGCATCTACCAGGCCCCCGGGTACCCAGGACTTCCTGTCTGCCTGTGGACTAGAAGTGCTCAGGCAACAGTGGCCTGGAATAAGCCTGGGTTTGGGAAGACAAGGCCACAGAGAGGCACAAATTCATGAGCAGAGACCATGGCAGGGTCAACATTATGTGAAACCAGCTGCTTTTGGGGGGGGGGGCACCAGTTCAGGATGTATGGAGACAAGAGAGGCCAGCACAAAGTTCAGGCATGAGTCTATCCTGATGCCAGGGTAGAAGCATGGCCTTTGAGATCTTAGGTCACTTTGGAGAGAAGGACAGGAGGAGGGAGCAGGATCCAGAATTGGCTAAATTTAACCTCAGAGGTCTTTACAGTAATAGAGCACCAAGAGTCTGCTTCAGCCAGAGAACACTGGCTTACCCATCAGTGGGAATGGGGACGGAAAGGACAACCTGATGCTGTTACAGAATCTAAAGTTACATTTTCTGCTGTAGAGTGCAATTTCAGTCCAAGCCTATTAGCGAAAGGAGGCACAGGATGACTGTCCATTGCTGTCCTGGCAAAAAGACAGAAGGCCAAGACAATTGAGTGGGTGGTGCAAAATGTCAAACTGAAAAACCCAGGAGAAACTGGGGTTGCCGAGAGGAGGTCAGAGGATGTGGGCGCTGCTGTCCTGGGAGAGGTGGGGAAAGAGGTCCTGAAACAAAGGCTGCAGGAAGGCTGAAGACATTTTCGCCTGCTTCACACTCCTTCATACTTTCCCTGGGGTCTCTTAGAAATATTCTTGAATCTGAGTATTGTTTGTCATTAGCAAATTATCACTTTTATTGAAAGTACAGATTTTAAGTACAAATTAAGGTATGATTTATTGTTTCCAAAGCTAAAACATTTCTACATTCTTTAGTTCGATTCTCCCAGATTCCGGATTTAATCAATTACTCATTTATCCAACCAACTGACAATTGTTAAACATCTCCTCTGGGTTCCAGAGACCTAGAATGTTTTTAAAGGAACCTAGTCTAGAGGAGAAGAAACCTGGAAATTTCTGTATGACTGCAGTGTTGCATTAAAGTATGGATAAAAAGGCACATGATGACCCAGGAGAGGGTCTTTTTTACTGAAGAAAGTTCATTCCAGAGAGAAGGAGGATCACATACCGTCACAGGGTCTTGGACAGACATGGGTTGGCAGGCAGGTGGGCAATCTAGAGGCTGTGGCACAGGGGTATAGGTGGGGTCCTGGGAGGCAGGACAGGGCATCTGGGTTCCAGAGACCTAAAATGTGGGTTTTCTGGTACTCAGCAACTGATGAGTTGTTTGTCTGCTCTGGGTCCATTCTGTTCTCTCCACCAGAGGGCAGACAGGGACATGAGCTGGGCTGCCAGATGGGTATGCTTCCCAAGGGGTTGTTCTAGTAAAACTGAATTTGGAAGAGTGCTGAGAGGTACTGTCTGGGATCAGCTTTTACTATTATCAGTTTATCACAGTCATACTCAGATCTATTCCTTTTTTTTTTTTTGTGCCGGGGATTGAACTCAGGGACACTTGATTACTGAGCCACATCCCCAGCCCTATTTTGTATTTTATTTAGAGACAGGGTTTCACTGAGTTGCTTAGCTCCTCGCTTTTGCTGAGGCTGGCTTTGAACTCTCAATCCTCCTGTCTCAGCTTCCTAAGCTGCTGGGATGACAGGTGTGTGCCACTGAGCCTGGCTTCAGATCTATTCTTAATCGGTATAGTCATGTTGGGGAAAGCAGTCACCACTTTCTGCCTGTAAGATCTTAGGCAAATCCCTCTCAGGCTTCATGTCCTCATCTGTAAGAATATTAGCCCCACAGCAATACTGCCGAAGGAGGAAATCTATATAAAGGTGGTGGGCACGAGAACAGGCTGAAAGATGCTTAGGAAAGTTAACTGAATCTGAGTATTATTCATCATAAGCAACTTAATTTCTACTTTTGTTCACCCAAGTACTTCCACCTGCTTTATTTAATTGATTCTCCCCAGTGTCTGTGAGTAAATTGTGAGCAGGAAGGAATAACTGGTAAAAGCAGATGTGGGGGTCACCTATGTATTTCATGATGGGTAATTGCTTCTCCTAATCTGTTTTTTGAACCCAGAGGGTTGTGTGCGAGTTAGAACATTACAGTCAAATCTAATTATCAGGTGATTATCTAGCTGTGAATGGGAGAGGTTTTCCTCTCTGTTCAGCTCCATTTCTTTTTCCTTATTCTTCCTTCTTTACAATGCTCTTAGCTTCCATTTTCATAATGAAAATGATGGAAAACAAATCAATTTAGCTTTTTTTTGTAGGGTTTTGGAAAGAATCAGAATGGGAAAAACATTTTAAACTATTTAAATCAGTTTTTGAATTTTTCTGGACAACACAGTTTCAGAATATATGAAATTGAATAAATCACTGTGAAGTGGAAGTTGTATTCTCTATTGCACTTAAAAAAGAAAATAGAGCATTTAGATTTGTTTATTGATTTATATGGAGACTCCTTAGAAAACTTGGAATGGAACCACCATTTGACCCAGCTATCCCAGTCCTTAGTCTATACCCAAGGACTTAAAATCAGCATACCATAGTAATGAAGCCACATCAATGTTTATAGCAGCTCAATTCACAATAGCTAAACTGTGGAAGCAACCTAGATGCCCTTCATTAGACAAATTGATAAAGAAACTGTGGCATACATACACAATGGAATATTACTCAACATTAAAAGAGAATAAGATTATGGCATTTGTAGGTAAATGGATGAGGTTGGAGAATATTATGCTAAGTGAAGTTAGCCAATCCCCAAAAGACAAAGTCCGAACTTTCTCTCTGATAAGTGGATGCTGATCCATAATAGGAGGGCATGGAAATAATGGAGGAATTTTGATGGGGCAAAGGAGAGGGAGGGTTGGGGAGGGGGCATGGGGGCAGGAATGGTGGTGGAATGAGATGGACATCATTATCCTAGGTACATGTATGACTGCACAATGTGCAACACTACATCGTGTACAACCAGAGAAATGAAAAGTTGTGCTGTAATTGTGTACAATGAATCAAAATGCATTCTGCTGTCATATATACCCAATTAAGATAAATAAATTATTAAAAAAAGAAAAGAAAAAAGAGCATTTAGATTTATTTATTTGGTACTGGGGATTGAACCCAGAGGTGCTTAATCACTGAGCCACATCACCAGCCTTTTTTATGTTGGGACAGGGTTTCACTAGTTTGCTTAGGGCCTTGCTAAGTTGCAGAGGCTGGCCACCAGCCTGAACTTGTGATCCTCCTGCCTTTGCCTCCTGAGTCCCTGAGATTACAGGTGTGTGCCATTTATCTTTAGAATGGTAAGATTAATAGGGCTATGATAGCTATTATTTACTATCTGTGTGCATATCAAGTGGAAAAGGATTTAGACTTATTTTGCAGACCAAGTAATAAAAAGAAGACTAATGTATAAAAGCCACATGGAAACTTGGGGTCACTGTAAGAAAGAAAGTATAATGAGGGCTGGCTAAAGACTAACTAAGCTGATGAGTTCCCCAGGCCTGCAGGTGTTCAACAGCAGCTTACTAGTGTGGGAAGGACTCAGACACTAGATGGACAATTCAACAGGGTGAATTTTGCAGTTTCTTCCAACAGTGTTGTTCTAGTCATGTATCCTCTAAGATATTTTATAGATAGATCACAGCACGAGATGATCCTAGCCCCATCAAAGTTCCTCCATTATTTCCATGCCTTCCCATTATGGATCAGCATCCTCTTATCAGAGGGAACATTCAGCCTTTGGTTTGCAGGGATAGATCACAGCATGAGATGGAGCATATGACTTGACCTGGAGTAGAAACTAATTTTATATGGTCTTATTTAGGCTTTCAAAAATTTAGAAAAAAGAACTAAAACCCATAGGAAGAAGTATATGAAGAGATACTAATTCCCTGTTTCTGCTGCCTTCTAGTCCTTGTTTATGGCTACTTCTACTTGCAGACTCAGGCCAGACAGTCTTGGGGATCAATTCTATTCTAAGCCAGGGTCCAAGAGATGCAAGGAAGCATCACCAGTAGCAGATGAGATTCAAATATCAAGACAATGTTGTTACCAGTCCTACCCTGATCTAGAGCTGCTGCATTAAGAATTTTGCAGAAATTATTTTATTTAATTTTCTCACAGCAAACCTATGGCAAACAAACAAACAAACAACGAGGTTCAGGGAAAGCAAACAACTTGCTCAAGGTCATGTAGTTAATAAATGAAACCAGAGCTTCATTTCCTTAATATATTCATGTCCCCATAACTACCAGACTTCTCCCCACACAGAGCCCTGAATCTGGTTCCCTAGCTGCTCTTTTCTGTCTTCTTGGGACTGGTACATTACCCCTTGAGCCCTACTTTAGAGTCTTCTAGTTCCCAGTCATAGATCATTCTGTGCTGCAGGCTTCCAGATCCCTTTGATCCTCTGCCCAAGCTCCAGAATATCTTCTGGCAGTCAACACACCTCTTCTGAGTGTCACCGTATGCAGATGGGCTAACTCTGTCACTGCCCTCCACAAGCAGCAGGGCCTTGTCTGTCTGCTCCTGTCTGCATAGCCCCAGGTACTGTGCCAATCTGTCTGCTCTTCTTTCCCCTATCCACCTCTGTATTTGCCCCTCTAATCCTGTAACCCAGGAAAACATTTACTTTCTAGGTTCCAGCAACTCTGTGTGCAAATCCAATGTAAGGCCTCTACTAGAGAAGTCAATTTATTAGATGGCTTTTCTGTTGGATTTCAGAGAAAAGCAGAGTAGCATAACAAGAGGACCAGGAAGAGAGAGTGATGAGAGGTCAAATCTCAGCTCTGGGTAAACCAAATCAGGCCTTTGCAATTCTAGAAAATATTGTTTTAATAAGGTGGTTGAGTTGAGTTGGAAACCAGTCTATCCAGGAATTTTATTGATTGAAAAATAGACTAAGTAGGCATCTTGGCTACTGATTCAAAGGTTTGACTCATGTCAACTCTACTTGGAAAGGACACATGGAAAGAAAGAAAAATGAAATTTTAGAGTGATTGTGGAGTTCAAGGATCTCTTGGCCTCTTTATGTGGATGGTGTGGAAGGAAAGTCTTCAAGTTTCAAATTAAAAGCTTAGTCATTCCCACACCTGACTGGGGCTTGCTTGTGTTTATGCTTCCTCAGCACCAAGTATGAAAAAGGTCTCCATTTCGTTCTCAGTGGTAGAGTTACAAAGAAAAGTCATTCTTAGTACAGTTCAGATTCCCTGCAGCTCTGATCAAATGTCAGCTGAGCAATTTCAAAGCAACTTTATTAACATCCTGTAGTCATAAACCGGTAAGTAGGGGGACTCCATACAATGGCAGCACAAAGATTATAACTCAGATTTATCTAAGGATAGTAAGAAATGAAACCAGGCAAATATCCTTGTCCTTATTTTGTAAATTTGAGAATTTTTTGATAACGACACAATATGTCAGCTGAGATTTCAGAGCAAAAGGTTGGTATCCAGATGCTCTGCCTGTAACATACTACCAGGTGCAGGTCATCTTAATGAAAATTTTGAAATTACAATTCTTTTTTTTTTTTTTAAGGTCCTTATTACTTGTAAAAAAGTCAGCCAGGACTCATATAACTTTTGTCACTTTTATGATATTGTTTGTTTTTTTAAAAAACAGAATGAAATCAGCAGAGTTATAATTTCAAAGAAGGCAGAACTTGGGCTAGTCTGACCTGGATAGATAAGAGCCTTTCATTATATACTCACAGCAAGTAGTAAAACTGATTATGATTTAAGAACACAATGGGGTCAGCGTACTCTATAAAAAGGGAAAATTCCATTGCTTTTTTCTCTCAAAGCAATTCTTATTTTATAAAACACCCCTTTCCTGAATAATGGTGCTTTCAGAGCTGGGCTCTGAACAATTCAAAATGAGCCCATGAGGCGCATTCTTTGGAAGGATGTGTCTTAACTCAAGGGTGGGTCTTCAGAGGTCAGGTCAATCCCTTTGACCAGGTTATCCTCACTCCCTAGGAATGAAAACAACCACATGTTGTGGTTACTGCTGCAGTGTTGGTTTATTCTTTAACTTTTGGTTTCAGGGTCATTGCATGACTCAATTTAGGTTCAAGTGGATACAACATTTGAAACATCATCTATCAACCTTGTTGTTATTGTTGTTTGTTTACATACAGAATCTTTGGCATATGAAATATAAAATATATTTTTACAAATAGATTTGTCAAAGTGCCATAAATTATTTTGGGAGGAAGTATTAGACGCTTGATAATCTTGACAATATCTCATGCCTAAGTTCACAGTGGCACCTTGGATAATCATCTCCAAATCAAATTTATACAGTCTAAAAACAATGAATTTCTTTAATTAATTTTGGTATAATGAAATCTCTGATTCAGAATCAGTCAACAACTTCAAAATAAGAAGGATAGTCAAGAAAATAACAAACTCCATCCCAAATATCAGCTTTGGTAGGTCTTAGGATTCAACTTTTTCTGAATAGCGTTCTTATCACCATTTAAAGCTAAGATCTTTAAAATTCTAAAAATACAACTTTACATTCATAGCAGTGCCTGGCACATGATATGTGCTAGGAAACACAGATTGAATGTTGAATAAAACAACTATCAAAACTTGACAAACTCGAAGTGTTGTTAGGTTCATAGTGCCCAGCTTCCTAATTTTCAGATGAAGGCTGGAGAGGTTGATTTGTTGTTCAAAACCACACAACTTGTTACTGAATACAGAACTCTGTAATCCAGACCTTATATCCCAAAGCGCTTTCTTTCCTCAGTTTTTAATGAGCTTCTGAAGATCCACAAAGCTTATGGCCAAGGCCTCAGACCAACCGGAAGATTCCTTAGAGAGGCATTCTGTAAATATCTAGGTATTCCCTTATCAGGTCAATTTCAATGGAAACCTGCCTGGGGGTCATTACTGGTAAGACATCAACTTGGCTTTACCCTAAGTACTACCTTTATAGTCATGTCTCACATTTACAGATGTGCCGCCATGCTGCAAACCAGGCAGCGTGGCGCACATCTGTAAATTTAGCACTTGGGAGGCTGAGGTGGGGGGATTGTGAGTTCAAAACCAGCCTCAGCAAAAAAACGAGGCAATAAGCAACTCAGTGAGACCCTGTCTCTGAATAAAATACAAAAATAGGGCTGGGGATGTGGTTCAGTGGTCGAGTGCCCCTGAATTAAATCCCTGGTACCACCCCTCCCCTCAAAAATTAATTGGGGCAGAGAAAGAGCAACATATTATGCTTCCTTACTTTTGGAGGGCTCTTGACTGCTCATCAAGTGCTGCCATTGTTAGCTTGCATTTCTGTTCCTTTAAGTATCTGTGGATGGACTAGCCAGATGTTAATAGGCTGTTGGTAAATGAAATCTCAAAAGTGATATGATTTTGAGAGATGAAGGTGCAGAATCTGCCCAAGATTCCAACAGCCTGGGCTCCTCTATGTGTGGTGGAGGAAAGTGGGGGTAGGGATAGGAGATAAGGCAGAGTATCAGCAGAGGGGCTAGGCAGGACTTGCCTCTATTTACCTATGTTCCAGGCTAGCCAACACTCATTATTTCAGTGCAGTCATACTTTATTTGAACAGGAGGTGGCAGAATGCATACTTGACCTCAGACTAAACACTCAAGTTTTAAAAACACCGGATGGTGATGTCAACTTGATTCCATAGGCTTTCTGGTTAGTCCAAAGCATAGTCCAGGAGAAACCTTAATCAAAGATTAAGTTTTCATCACAGAGGCAAAAGGGTTCAAAGAATGCCTGGAGCTGACTGGGTATCTTAGGTATGTCCTGCTAGAGGACATCTAACAGCCTCATGCACTTGAGCAAACTTCATCAATGGACATTACCTGCCTTGGCTGGTTGACTTTTGCTCCTGAAGACAGCAATAATCGAATAACATCTAAGTAACCACCTTGGGCCGCTAGGAAGAGGGCAGTGGCTCCATCCTGAAAGAAGGCAAATTGAAAGTATTCAAAAATTATGTCTTACGTTTATTTTTAGATAAATCAAAGTGAAAAATACATTTAATATAATTTTCCATTTTCATCTCCTTTTAGATTTTTATCCTTTTTTTAAAGAAAGAGTGAGAGAGACAGAGAGAGAGAAAGAGAGAGAATTTTTTAATATTTATTTTTTAGTTTTCAGCGGACACAACATCTTTGTGTGTATGTGGTGCTGAGGATCGAACCCGGGCCACACGCATGCCAGGCGAGCGCGATACCACTTGAGCCACATCCCCAGCCCCTCCTTTTTTTTTTTTTTTAATGATGAGCTTAGTGTTAGATAACAACAAAAATACCTCAAACCTATTTTGTGTGTTTTTATGAATAGGGTGTAAAAATGTCCTTTCAATTTGATCTTTTCTACACCTTTGTCTTTCTTGGTCCCTTATCCATGTCTCCTTAACATACAGTTTCCCTGAGTATTAAAAGGCACAATAGGCTGGGGATATAATTCAGTGGTAGAGCACTTGCCTAGCACGTGCAAGGCCTTCAGTTTTATTCCCAGTACCACTATCACCATCACCACAGAATAACAACAAAAATTAAAAGGTATGATGTTTTCAGATAAACTGCCCTTTGAAAGAATCTCCACAAAGATGCTCCCAATCCAGGAGACATCAACAAATGTAAAAGGTGAGGCATAAAAGCCCAAAACTCGAGCTCCCATTTTCTTGAGTTTTCTTTTTAACTGGGTGCCTCTGTCTTCTGGGCATTTCTTTTTTTCATGGACACAGGTCACCAGGTAATTGCAGTAAATGTATGATTGACTGAGAGCACACATTTCCCAAATGCTCACTTCACCCAGAGGGCATGCACAGAGTAGGGTTAGCCTCATTGTTTCTAGATTGCAGTGGAAAACTCAGAGCACACCTTAGTGGAAAACACCCACCCAGCCCAGCTAATTATGACACCTCCAGCTGGGAATGCTAACAAACAGCTAAAACACAAAACACCTTTCCCTGCAAGTTCAACTAGGCGCCTCATGTGCAGGGTACTGGATTTCCAGTGGGTGTCAGCTGAGCTGCCAGACTGCCCTCAAGGCAATAATAATTAAAAAAAAAAATTAGTCTGTACAGATTTTTAAGCAGATACAGGGATAGAAATCCCAGCTGCTCCCTAATGCCTCAGTCTACCATGCCCTTAGCGGCTGCTCTCAGGAATTTTCTGAACTGCACCATCTATGCATCCCTGGGGCAGTGATGCATTTTTCGCTGGCATTGCAAGTTTCAGTTCCTAGAAGGGATCCCTAACCCCTGCTCCCCATCCCCGTATTTGGTATATTCGGGTGAGAGTAAAGGGAAGTTGTGATGCACAATTTTTTAAAAAATTGTGTTTAAAAAAACCTTTTTATTTATTTTAGAGCTGACTGGGTAGCTTAGCTATACATGACAGTAGAATGTATTCTGACATATTATACATACCTGGAGTATAACTTCCCATTATTGTGGTTGCACATGATGTGGAGTTACACTACTCATGTATTCATGTATGAGCATAGGAAATTATGTCCTATTCATCCTGTCCTTCCTATTCCCATCTCTCCTTCCTTCCCTTCATTCCCCTTTATCGATGCATAAAATTTTTGATTCGGCTTACAATAGAAAGGAATTTGGCATCGGAGGTTCCCCCCCAAAACTCTGTATTTCTGCGGTATGTGTCCTCCAAGAGTCTTCTGGAAGAATATTTTTTAATGAGTACAAATTCTCTACCCATAGTCAATTTGGATGGCTATGAAAATCACAATGAATTTCCTTTTTCAAAGACTTTGTCTCTTCTTATCAATTTACACATATATGCACTAGTAAACACACTCAGGCACACCTTACCTATATAAAGCCAAAGAAATAGCTAAAGCTTTAGGCCTGTGTTTCTTAGATTTGGCCACATGTCAGAACCACCTGTTGTTCAAGTTGTGCCCTCACTCTTTTTGGATGGCTTGGGAATTGAAATATTTTTTTTAAAGCTCCCCAGGTGCTTCTAATGGGCAGCCAGAGTTGAGAATCACTCCTTTAGATCATTATCAAGTAACTCATTCATTCTACTCTTAATGCTGCAGGCTCAAAGAGTGTCACAGATTTTGAAGTGCAGAGGGGTAAGGCTAGTTGCCATGGACTTCAAAGAGGCCTGTGATTTATCAGAGCTAACTAGGTAAACTTGGAAAGGGTACTCCAGTGGAAACGTTCACACCTCCACAGCTCATTATCCAGCTATGAAAGCAGAGTGCCCTAGGCATAAGGGCTAAAAACCTAGTTTGGGGATAATCTAGAATATGGTTCCTAGATTGTTGGAGGTAGGAATTCTTTCCCTCCTCTCCACGAGATTCTGTCAAGTCACTTCATCTCCCCATATTTCATTTTTTTCCCCTACAAAACCAGGAAAACATTTTCCATGAAGCCTATGGAATGACAGTCACAATTAAAAGAGCCCCAAGGTAATGTGATAATTGCCAATTAGCTACAAATAGACCCACACTAGCAATGGGTGCCTTTCAAAGGTCTATGGTGCACCCTCCCACCCACCTGCTTCTCTCCTCCTTGTGTCCTTCCTCACAAATGACTATACAATAGGACAGTATATTTTGGTTATTGGCAAGTCCACATGCTGGGCTAGGTGGTCATCATGATATGAGTGATTATGTATCTTATGATTTTGAAGACCTTAATGTGCATAGGTATCTGAAATGTTTCAGACATACAACATTTAAGACTGAGGACAAAAAAAAATGATGGGTAAATATTATATGGTTTCTATATAGAAAAAGCTCATGTGGTCAACTATATCTTTTCCCTTTGATGTCTCAGATGAAAGTCCCAATTTAAAATGTTTTTGAAGTTGGTGTTTCCAACATCTGGATTTAGACTGCAATGCTGTGTGTGATGAAGGAAGGAGCAAGTGTCCGCTTGAAAACACACTCACATAAAGTTGGTCATGGATGTTGGCTCCGTGCTTCAGCAAGGTCTCCACCACCTGCATGTGCCCATACTGACTGGCAGCCAGCAGGGCGGTGCCCCCATCCTGTGGACATGAAAAGTATAAATGCCTTTAGAGAAGTATAGGCCCGTATTTACCAAGGAGCTCCTCACATAGATAGAACTTTGGAAGAGAATCTGCCCATAGATAGTAACAAACTCTCTTTCTTTCACCCTTTTACCTTTGCTTTATAATCATGATCAGGTTCATCTTAAGGACATGTCTATGTTGTACACTTGGATGATTTGCTAGAGATCTATTACAGTTATTTCACCAAGTTATTATGATAAGGAATTTCCCATGCTGAATGCAGAACCATCTATTTGCTTCTCAATATGAGAAAAACAGAGCACAACATCTGTGCCAAGTCTTGTCAGTTCCATCCTGGAATAGCCAGAAGAGCCTCCCATAGCTTCTGGCCAGAGACCTCCCTCCCTAACAAACACTGGCTTCTCCCTGTGGTGCCACCCAGTTAAAATCCATTGAGTATAAGATGCTTTTTTGGGTGACCCTCTGGAACCACTGCTTTCTTGGGGCAAGATTTGCCTCCATTAAAAGAGCAGAGGACGACAGCATATCCCACGTGTCTCTCACTGTCATACCTAGTGTTTTCCTCTGAACATCTGCCAATTTCCCAGGTCTCTTCCAAAGTAAGGGCCCCCAAACAAAGTAGAACACTATAAAGTTGGTGTGCTCTGATGTGGAGATTCCTTTCTTCCATCTACTCTACTTTTATTTCTGTGGCTCAAATTAGAATTAGCTTTGATGCCAACCACATCACACTACTGACTCATTGAGTTTGTGGTCAATGAAAACCATTAATGGTTTTTCTCAGGCACTACAGGTAAGACATTATCTTTTCCCTTCTAGAATGGTTGAGTTGTTTGTTTGGCTCTGTGAATTGTTAGGTGGACATTTAAATAATTCAAGAACATGTAATCTGACTAAAAAATATGAATCACAAATACGATACTGTGGTTTCTAAAGTTAGGAATAGGGTTTTTGTTCGAAAGGAGTTCCACCTTCAGAGGGTCAGATTTAGTAAGTTTGTGGTGAGGATGTTTGGCTGTGTGGTGGGGACGGGTGCTGAGCTGGGCCCTGAGGGGTGGGGAAGGGAGAGGAGAGGGACTGAAGGCTGCAGCTCATTGGGGAGGTTTGAGGGGGGATCAAGAAATTGCTTAATAGCATCACTTAGTTCCACTGTTTTCAGGTTTTGTCCTGCCAATTTTCTCAGCTATTTGACTAATGAGGTAACAGAAGAGTAAAATACAATGATTATGATAGAACTGAGCCCTGATTTTTAAGGACACAGTTTTAGATTATAACTTTTTAAATTTAATACAAAGAGAATAACTGTTGAAACATAGTCAGTTTTGAAGACAGGAGCATATTGAAACTCACAGCCTCTTCTTCCCTTGAAAGAAAAAAAGCTCTTGGACACCTGCAGTTGACTTAATGGAAACCTGTGGAATTGCTCCTCTTGGGCCCCCACGTGCTGTGGATTTCTGGGACAGGACAAATTGGCTCAGGTGTAAAGGCTTTAAGCCAGTATTAACTTGTTAACCAAGAAGACTGAAGTAGTCACATGGTCACACATGATCATTCTGACTTTGTTAAAAGAATGGAGATTTAAGTTCGTACACCTTTCTATTTTTAGTTGCATTTCTCATTATAAAAAATGAGGTGGTGGGGGCTGGGGTTGTGGCTCAGCAGTAGAGTGATAGCCTCGTATGTGCAAGACCCTGGGTTCGATCCACAACGCCACATAAGAATAAATAAGTAAAATAAAGGTATTGTTTCCAACTACAACTAAAAAATAAATATTTTTTAATGAAGTGATAATTAATATAAAATATACATAAATATTTTGTATTTCTGTATATTATACTCAGTATGTTTGGAGACGTGAGCACAGTGAAATAGCAGGTTTCAGAAAAGGCGGAAATCCTATATGAAATGTGGATTTACTTAATATTTAGCAATTTACCAGGAAAAAAGATCTACCAGAAATTCCTTTGACATCTAAATGTTACATACAGTTGGTTAAGAAAACCTAAGTTTCCAACTTGGAAATTTTTTTCAGGACTTTTGCTTTTATTATGATTAGGCCAGAAATGAGCTGACGACTACAACAATCTGTTCATACTCTCCTACTACAGAACATTACCAAGTAAATCTAGGTTGTGAACACAAAATTGGTCTTTTTGCAAGGCTTGATTTTTTTTTAAGAGTCTTTTTAAAAATATTTTTTTAATTATAGGTGGACACGATATCTTTTTATGTATTTATTTTTATGTGGTGCTGAGGATCGAACCCAGTGCCTCATGCATGCTAGGCAAGTGCTCTACCTCTGAGCCACAACTCCAGCCCCTTGATTTTCTTATCTGCATAAAATCAATAACTTCTTTAAAGGAGGGACCACAACGACTTGCCCAACTACATAAACTGTAAATGCCTTATCTATTTCAGTGATAAATGAAAAGCACTGCTGCCTTTAGAAATTTCTTAGATTTACTAGGATCAGATTAACACTTCCACTGATTCTTATTATAGTATTGAGGTTAATCTTGAAACAGAACAAAGTTACATGGAAACAGAGAAAGTTAGAGAGCTACCTGGTGCTGTACTCTTCCTGATTATAAGATTTAGTGTCCCAGACACTGGTTGTCTTGCACCAACCAGTGCAAGAAAGAGTTCAAATAATTCCTCAGGAAATTCTCCCATTTTGAGCTCAGAGCAAAATCATAAGTGTTTGGAATGAATTCCAAGAACTATCCCTGAACCATTATAAGTAACATGGTGAGGTCCATATCTGTAGGCTTGAGAATCTTGTAGAAAGCGGAGCACAAATTTGTATAATATTGCAGAAAGAAATTGTAAAAATTGGTGGTTTCTTTAGTACCCAAGACTTCTGAAAAATTTCAATAGGGTATGAAATCAAGAAGGTTCTCTTACTTTGGTCCTACATTCCGTAGATGCTCCAAATCCGAAGAGAAATCTCACAACATCATTATGACCTTGTTGGGCAGCAAAGAAAAGGGCAGTTGTACCTGACTGGGAGAGAGACAGGCTGGCTTTGAAAGACATTTAGTTAAATTACAGATTTATACATTTACAAAGAATACAAAACATTATCCCTGCATGTAGACTTTATAGCTTAGGAAGGGGCTGCATATAAACTCATTTATTTCATGGTCAGGGATGTGACAAGGTGAAAGAGAGCTTTATTCCTGATATAGTAGGGTGAATGGTGTTTCCCTGTAAGATGAGGTCCAAATTCCTAAAACTCACGAATATTACCTTATGTGGCAAAAGATGTTAAGGATTTTCAGAGGATGGACCCAACCTGGGTTATCTGTATTGACCCTAAATTTAGTGATAAGTGTCCTAATAAGTGTGAAGCAGAAGCCTCATTTACAACAGTTAAAATGTGGAAGTAACTGAAGTGTCCATTGATGGATGTACAAGCAAAACATGGTATATCCATACAATGAAATATCATTTAGCTTTATAAAGGGAGGAAATTCTGACACATCCTACAAATGGATGAAACCTGAAGACGTACTAAGTGAGAAAGCCCTGTCACAACAGGACAAATACAATTGGATTCTACTGTGGTGTCCAAAGAAGTCAACTTCATAGAACCAGAAAGCAGGTTGATGGTTGCTAGGGGTGAAGAGGAGGGAGGAATGGGGAGTTATTGTTTAATGGGTTCAGACTTTCAGGTTTTACAAGTTGAAAAAAGTCAGAGATGGAAATAGATTGTTTTTCAATATGTTTTTGACACATTAATAAAAAGCCATAATGACAGCAGTTTGAGCCAATTTTGTAACTTACATACTATCAACCATTACGCATGAGAATGGAGCACTTCATAGATAACAGAATCTAGATTTCAGTCTGGAATGTGAATAAAGATCTTAAATGTATGTACTTTACTAACTGAAACCCAGGGTCTCATACTAACGGCATTTGTAGTTCCTGTGTGTGCCAGTTATAATCAGCCATAACTGCCGGTTCTCTACAGTGATGGTCCTTCAGGACAATTTAGCTTCCAGTTTGCCACCCTAGAAAACTCTGGGTATCTACAGAGCCAAGCTAAGGAAATAATGACAGGTATTTTTTTCAGAAAACAAATATTTTGATTTTAAAATGGATTAATAATGGACCAAGGTATAAATCCACCCTAAGAGTAATTTCCAAAGCACTGCAAGGCTCTCTCATCCAGCTTCCAAATCAGGTGGGTGAGGTTGGGTCTCCCTTTGGTTTAGCAGTTCTATTGCCCCAGAATTGTCATGGTTTCAGGATATTCAAGGGACTTCTAGAAACTTAAAGAGTATCATCATTTGAGCCATATGGTTTACCTCCGAACTGAGTGTGCTTTGGTAAATCCTCATCTCTAAGACTAGTTGACTAGTTGAACCATTGGAACCAAACAGATTAGTATAAAACCATCAAAACTATCCGTGTAGAAATCAAATGCTTCTCTCTCCTTACTTTTCTCAGTTGTTCTAAACAGGCTTTCGCGCATATTGGACCTGCACTTTGGGATGCGGTTTTTGAGCAAGCAGATCTGGATCACGTTGTTTTCTTTAGAGAAAATGTCTTTGCTTTAAAGTTATAATAAACAAGGACCATAAAACAGAAAGGAAGAATACAAATGATGATGGTAATTTTAAACTATAATTCTAAATGGATCTAAAGAGTTTCATCCCAGAGGGAAACAAAGTGCTGATGTGAAAAATGACCTAAAACAATGATCTATTGTTATGGAAATTGTTCAAAAGAAACTGGTTGTGGGAAGATTAACTGAACTTGCTATGGTCTCTTTACACTGCCCCTCTTAATAGGCCAGCCTTGCTGAACAAGGTCTATGGGGAATTAGATTCCAGGAACTGTCAGTCACACATTGTTCTTTCATGATCTACAGCCAAGGCCTCCAAAACCCAGAGAATGACAGGAAGGACTACTGGATGTACTTTGGAACTCTTGACATTGCCCTTAGACCTGCCTGATTTTGTCCTAACTTGCTCCACTTAGGGGTGGTGGTCCAGACTGGAAAGATGGGTTACATTGGCTTTGCGAGGCTTTGGTTGATGAGTTATCTTTCTGAAACAACTGCAAGGCAGAACTTGGGATAAGCCCCGATCAAGGAAAACCAAGTGCTCAGTCTGGTTTGGAGCTTGCCCAGGATGCCCACCTCAGGTCTGAGTCAGTGTGAACTGAGGGGTCAGATTCACTCTCAGATCTCCAGAGCACATGTCTCTATAAAGGTTGTTTTACCAGGTCTTAGGTCAGCTTAGAAATATATGGAGGCTCTTAGGACTGGAATCCCAAAGTATGTTAAAATATCTCAGCCTTCCTACTCATTTCTAGATTAGACCAAAAATGGATCCTCTGGCAAAACCAAACTCTGAAGCTTACCCTGAAGAAAGTGTGGGCACAGGCTCACATTTTAGTTCAACATTCACCCACATGGCTTTTTTTGGGAAAGCTTATTTAATACATGGCCAGACAGAAAAGTCCTTTGAAGAGATGGTTTGGTGAGGATGATTGAGAGCAAGCAAGTTTCATTATGAATAGATTGGTGACTAAAAACACAATGACCTCTAGGAAAATCCTATAAATGCTATAGCATCTATGCCAAGGGAAGAAGGAAGAACTGATTTATGCATGAGACAAAATGTGTTAATGTTTAAGAAATGTGGTAGGAGATTTGGTTACTGCTTGCTATGCATTTGATGTGGTTTCAGCGTGTCCTCCAATGTTTCATGCACTGGAAGCTTGTGCTCTAGAGTGGCAGTGTCGAGGCAGTGGGATCTGAAAGAGGTAGAGCCTAATGGAAAGCAATTAAGTCATTGGTGGGTAGAATCTGGAAACGATTAATGTTGGTCTCAAAGAGTGAGTGAGTCTTGTAAAAGTGGGGTGTTATAAAGCAAGGCCACCCCATGTGCTTTGTTTCTTCTGCATGCAGCCATTTCTATTTCCCATCTTCTTCCCCCCCCATGTTGTAATGCTGCCATGACCAAAGGCTAAGCCAATGGGGCCACCCAATGTTGGACTTTCAACCTACAAAACAGCAAGCTAAATAAACCTCTTTTCTTTATAAAGTACTCAGCTTCAGGTATTATTAGAGCAACACAAAATGGATTTTTAAAATTACCTCAGACATGTCCAGTGACAGTCCATTCCTTAACCTTATTTAAGGCACAACAAATTCTACAATGAGCTTTAACGTACTAGAAAAGCAATAAAGACTCTTGTCCTCTTACCAATTCATTATTAGAATGACTTCAGATCTCTTGGCTTGGTCATTTTTATTCAAATGCATAACCTGACCTACCTCTCTCTGGAGGTTGATATCTGCTCCTTGCAGAACCAGTTCTCTCACGCAGTCAATGTGGCCAGCGTAGGAGGCCACCATGAGGAGGGTGGTGCCATGCTGGATGAAGGAGAGACAGATGAACAGTTAGGCCCTCGTTATGTCAGAGAGAGGGATCCTGGAGAAGAGACCACAGAGATATCAGCTCTACCCAGAACAAATCCAAGTGCAAAATTTCCTGCAGTGATCAAAATGCCTCATGAATCATCCTATAACACAGTCTAGATGGGAAAAAGCAAAGCGACAAATGCTGAGGTTTATGAATTCACTTACTTCTATTAATTTCAGAAACAGAGTCCAAATGAACCATGGTCATTGTATTTTAAGGCATCAGTGATACAATTGCTCTCAACTTATGATTTACATTAAATTATTCCTGAGCCAAATGCAAAAACCGGTTAAACAGTACCAGTTGATTTTCTGAACTTAGAATTCTTCTTAAATTTTTTAAAATAATATTTATTTTAATTAAAAAATTTAAACTTGCATTTAGCAATCTTTAACTTCATAATGATTCAGATAAAGATGAATGCGTTGAGACTTCAGAATTGAAAATCAGGGGTTGAGGGGACCAAGTCTGCCTGTGTCATCAAACAATAGCACAACCTGGGACAAGTTGCTTACACCACTGGGACTCATTTCTTGCATCTTAAATTGAGGGGTTGAAGAGGGTGGTCATCAAGGTCTCTTGATTCAAGGGCTTGGGGGGCTGTGAGATAGTTTAGCAGAAAAGCATGTACTTAAGAAAAAAAGAGAAAAAAAGATTTAAGGATTTGAGGTATGATATGTACCTGTCTGGTTGAAGTGGAGTTTTATAGTTTAATTTGCAATTGTTTTCAAGGGCTTGAAATTGTAATATTAACCACCACCTTCTCATATTTAGCAACCTGCCTCCCAGGAATGGATGACAAGAAGGACAGTCTGCACAGGAAAGCTTACTAGGTATGCTTAGTGATTAAGTGAATTTTAGTCTTTGTGCTATTTCCATGCTTGGGAACCAATATGGTTGACTGGTCACTGACAGTATGAACTTGGACACATTATTAAACCTTTACAACTATCATTCTGTTTGTCAGTAAAAAGGGGGAATAAAAAGGTATCTAATTAAATTAGTAAAGAAGATTATTTAGTCAACCAGTTTAGTACTATTAGATTATTAGTTAAGAAAGTATTAGATATTAAAAGATATTATGATAAAAGTTCAGTAAATCTGAGGTCATCGCCTAGCTTTTGTTGACATCTATCAATGGCCATGTTAGTTTTAGGAAAGTCTTGTTTGCTTCACATGGAAAGTACATAGAGTCAAGAAAAGCTAATGGCTTCATGGTAGTGCTCAATGATACTTCTATCCCACGTGACCATACCTGGAATTTGGGTATGAGGCTGCATAAAGGCTGTATCATCCATATTCATTTGAGCTCCTTCCTTTATATTCTCCAGATCATTAGTGGCAAGCTTGGTATTACCAACTTCCCCCTTTTTAAAAATAATGTCATTGTATTTTTATTTATTTATTTATTTATTTATTTTTATGTGGTGCTGAGGATAGAACCCAGTGCTTCACACATGTAGGCAAGCACCCTATTACTGAGCTACAACTCCAGCCTCCAACATCCTCTTGAATGTGAAGAAATTTTTAATTTAGACAGCAGATAGGAGAACCCTTCATACTATAGTCTGAAATGTGTGGTTCCAAAATTCATGTTGGAGTGCCCATTGTGGTGGTATTAAGAGGTAGGGCTTTGGAGGAAGTGATTAAGTCAAGAGAATTTTATCTTCATGAGTACCCTGAAGTTGAAACCAGGAGAGGTGGCACACGCCTGTAATCCCAGCAGCTCAGGAGGCTGAGGCAGGAGGATCACGAGTTCAAAGCCAGACTCAGCAAAAGCGAGGTGTTAAGCTACTCAGTGAGACCCTGGCTTTAAATAAAGTACAAAATAGGATTGGGGATATGGCTCAGTGGCAGAGTTCCCCTGAGTTCAATCCCCAGTCCCCTGGCCCCTGCTCCCTAAATAAGAAGTTGAAGGGACATCTTTCCCCTTTCCACTGGTGAGGAAGAGCAATAAGTCACCATCCATGAACAGAGGGTTAGTTTTCAGCTGACACCAAATCTTCCAGTGCCTTGACCTTGGATTTCCCAGCATCCAGAACTGTGAGTAATAACTTTCTGTTGTTTAAAAATTACCCAGTCTTAAGTATTTTGTTATAACAGTCCAAATGGACTAAGACACTTAGTTTAAAGCCAACTTGACTAGAGCTACGAACTGGGGATGTAGCTCAATGGTAGAGTGCTTGCCTATCATGCATGAGGCTCTGGGTTCCATTCCCAGTACCATCTGCAAAAAAAAAAAAAAGAGTCTTGCACTAGACAAGCTATAAATATATTGAATATATACTTTTATGTGAGAGGAGAGACATTTTTTAAAAAATCATGGGCCACACTGGTCTCAGAATAAAAATTAACTGTGATCTAAAGGAAGTACAAAAGCACTTAATTTTGTTATTTGAAAAAGAATAAAAAATGTTAGGTTCATATGTTTTTTTTTTTTTAAAAAAAGAGGATTCAAACAAATAACAATAATACTTCTTTGTAGATTGTATTTCTGTATTTCAATTCTATATCATGGTCAACTGAGAAAAAGTCAGAATGGAGCAATGGAGAAAGAGAATAAAGAGGTGTTATGATAAATTGCACAAAAATATTTTACATATTTAACATCCATTGGCTTGACTGATTTTAATTTTCTAAAGATAAAGATTGCTTCATGTCATTGACTCATGTTAAAATGCATTTTTAAAAAACCTAATTGGTTCTGAACAGAGCAAACAAATACAAATATAAATTGTATATAAATATAGTGACGTCCAAAATCAAAAGACAATGAAACACCTACATTTATACATCTAAAAAGGCTAAAAGAAAACATTAATCTAGGAATCAAAGGTGAATCAGTGTTAGCAAACCAAAGTTTCTGGTGTACAGTAGGTGGCTCAGAGAGAAAAATATTTGTTTTTTACCATGCTGTTTGTTAGAAAAAAATCTGAACATTGTCACACTTCAGATTAAGGACAATGAAGAAAGTCCTGTGGGCCTCTCCTTGCTTTCTTTCCTTTTCTATTAAAAAAATTTTTTTTTTAATTGTTGATGGACCTTTATTTTATTTATTTATTTTTATGTGGTGCTGAGAATCAAACCCAGTGCCTCACACATGCTAGACAAGTGCTCTACCACTGAGCCACAACGCCAGCCCCATTCTCCTTGCTTTCTAATGGCTCTCACAGGCCTCCTAGGTGATTCTGGGGCTGGCCCCATAAGCCAGTTAAGTACTAGCCTAGATATCTCATCGGAAGAGATCATCCTGGAACCTGGAATCCGTGCTCAGATGGCCTTTGAAGGAAGCAGAAGCCCAGCCAGTGACATTCCAAGAGAAACAAAAGCCTGTACTATTTCCACATATCTCCTGGCTCTCAGTCACCACCAACCTGAGAGGCCCTTTCAAAATAACACTATGTCTGAAATGACCACCATTTAGCATGCTCCTTGGGTTAAGGAATCATCTCTCTGGAAATCTGATTAAATGGCTGTTTGTTTTTTTTTGGTGCGGGGGAGTTCCAGGGATTGAACTCAGGGGCACTCAACCACTGAGCCACCTCCCAGCCCTATTTTGAATTTTATTTAGAGACAGAGTCTCACTGAGTTGCTTGGCCCCTTGCTTTTGCTGAGGCTGGCTTTGAACTCGCAATCCTCCCTTCTCAGCCTCCCGAGCTGCTGGGATTATAGGTGTGTGCCACCACGTCCAGCCTGATGGAATGGCCTTTTACTTTTTTTCCCCCAATGGCTTTTTAATTTAGACAAGAAGAGACCATCTACAAACCTATTAATATCTATCCATGGAAGCAAACTTTGTGGCCAAAATAGCTGGTGGTTACCCAATAGACAGACAGGGACAAAGCATGAGCTCTGTTGGAAGGAAGGTGACAGGACAGATGACTTAAGAGTGCCTGCAAGGGGGAGAGTGTGGGGTGCAGCAGGCTGGCCTTGAGAAGCCAAAAGTCAGGAGGAAGTCATAGGGGCATCTGAATAGGAATAATTTGAAGAAAAACAGAGAAAGTGGTCATCAAAGTGGTTAGTGGTTGAGGCCACAATAACTGGCCTATCCCATTGTGTTGGACAGTCTCGGGTAGGACCTAGACCTGTGAGATCCAAGTAAGAACAGGACGGTCAGTTCACAGATGCCCAGAACCCTGTGTCAGCCTGGGTTCTGGCAAGGAACAGATGGTACATTCAAATTAGGATAATTGGAAAGAAATTTAATAAAGAGACTATTTATAAAGCTGTGGTATATATGTGTAATAAGAATTGTAATGCAAAAAAAAAAAAAACCCAAAAAAACAAAAAACAAAGTACATGTATAAAGGCATGAATTGGCGTGAACATACTTTATATACAAAGGTATATATAAAAAATTGTGCTCTATATGTGTAATAAGAATTGTAATACATTCTGCTGTCATGTGTATTTAAAAAAATAAAATCAATTAAGAAAAAAAGAAAAAAAAAACATATACATGAGAAAGAGAGAGAGAGAGAGTGAGCGAGCACTGTGGCCTGGGTGTTAGAGGCTATAAAGAACAGTGTAGTTCTGGAAGCTAGTAACAGTGGGGTTCCATGACCAGCTAGGCCAGAGGTGCAAGGGGAAGAGCCCGGCTCCCAGGATGCACACAGTGAGAACATCACTGCCAGACAGAACAGGGAGGGCCCTGGGCTCCCCAGCCCTCTCTCTTCCCAGCCCCTGTCTCTTGCTGGTGCTTCCATTGGCCAAACCCAACCAGAGGCCAGAGAGAACGAGGGCAGTATGGTTCAGACTCTGGAACACGGAACCAGGTAGAAAAGGGTACAGAGTGGATATGATGGTGTGCACTCTCCTGCCCTGATCCCCAGTGGGCCAACTGGAGCAAACACTTGGGCTGGTGGTAGACTTCATTTACCAAATTTGTGCAATAAATTTGTGTAATGGCACCCCTTGTTTGCAGAAAAACAATAAGGTTCCTTTGAAAGCATTTTGATTAAAGTTCTAAAATCATCTTCTCATCTGAGATGCTTTTTGTCCCCAGAGATGTAGAGAGGTCCTGCTGAGCACAGGAGAAATCATGGCCTCTAGTGGAGGAGGGAAAGGGCTCTCTAGATGGGACCTGCCAGTAGGAATAGTATCTATTTTTATTTCCCCTTCTTACTTGACAGTTAATGTCTTTTTGTTTATGAATGGTGAAGAAGGGATAGGAGGCTGGGTGGAGGCTTCAATGTCTTAGTTTTCTCAGTTTTGTAGAAAATCAACTCCCACATCCACAACAACCCATGTGTGCTCTAAATTATCTCACTTTTTTTAAAAAGTAAATTCTTTTACTCAACAGTCTTTTTTTCTTGGAACCTGCCAATTCTGCTTCCTGTGCCTTTTCAACCTTCTGGTGGCTGTCTTCCACTGTGTGCATGCAACTGTTTCCTTTCTGACTTTACCTGTGTGTTTTTAAGATCACCACTATACACAGCACTTTTTGAAAGGGATAAAGCAAGAAAACACATAAGCAAGTAAGTCAACATTGTAAAGGGAACTGTATTGGTGAGATGCTGTCGTGCCTGCAGGGTGGAAAAGGGTGCTCTGGGCATGCAGATACCGTGTCCCTCCGTACACTGTCTCTGCAGTCCACATCCACTCGACCACTGTTCAACAGCAGCTTCAGCAGGGCCAGGTTTCCTCTCCTTGCTGCCCAGAATGCAGCGTTAGCAAGTGGAGTTTCCTTCTGCAAGAGCAAAACCAACCAGAATCTTAAAATCAACATTAGTGAACATGACTACTTCTATGCATCTATATGTTTTTGGTGCCAGACACATGAGCCGCAAAGTTGTCTTCAGGGCACTGTTGTTGATAATACAGCACTATTAATACCCCGGTTCCCACCAATGTCCTCACTTTCCTGCCTCTGTTGTGTCTTTGTTTACACAATTTCCTCTTCGCTTGAAATGAACTTTCCCCATCCTTCAGGGTCAAGGCTCTGTTCAAATGCCATTTCCTCTCTGTAACACTGCAAGTCTCTTCACTGCTCTGCAGAGCACAATTTCTCCCCATTCTGACATCTTTCGGGAGTTTATTGGTACTTTTTCTATGTTCTCAATGTTTTCTGACTCCAGTTATTTGAATAAACCCCTCACTTTCCTCTGTCTAATTTTCTGTGCTGCAGCTGGAACATGCCAGAAGTTTCAGATGAGAACAAGGAAGCTTGGGGGAAAAAAAAGATTTCTCCTGTCAATGGTGCTTGTGTCCAGTTGCCCTTATTTTACTTAATAATGGCCTCAAAGGGCAAGAATCAAGATTCTGGCAATTTTATTACAGTATATTGTTATAATTGTCCTATTTTATCTTTAGTTTTATTGTTATTCTTTTGTTGTGCCAAATTGATAAATTAAACTTCCAGAGGCATGTGTGTTTAGAAAAACAGAATATTGATAGTGTTGGGGATATTTGTGGTTTCAGGCATCTACTAGGGGTCTTGAGAAGCATTCCCTGTGGATAAAGAGGGACTACTGTAATATATAAAATAAAATAATTCATAATGTTAAAAAGAAAACGCCCATAATTTCAGCTATCAAGGAAGCTATCTAAAATGAAGGGACGGGGACAGCAGAGTGATGACAACATTTGTTGGTGTGAGGATTTCATTTCAGAAGTCCTTCAGCACCTGCCCAACGGCTGCTCTTGTGCATATCTGGATGAGAAGGGCAAGCTGGGGAGTGATAACCAGATCACAAACATATTTTGAATAGTTTCCTCCTGGCTCATTTAGGAGGGGGAAAAAGAAAAACACTTCAAATTCCAGGCTAACAATCTACCTTTCTGGGTAGGTATTTTTGCTGTACTAGATGGAGTTTTCAGGCCAAATTGCAACTGTGGCCTTGACCCTCAGAGCTGGCTGCCTTTGCACCAGGCTGAGTCTAACCTGGGATAGTTGTTAGTAACAAGGTGAAGCAATGGCAAGGCAGGGCTGAACTGTATAATAAATAATGAAATATAATACAAGGCCCAAATGAAATCTGGGAGGGTGAATTAGAAAGAGAATTTAATATACACCATGGAACAGCTCTACTGACTTTTCCTAAAATGTAAAAACACGAAAGAGATAAATGGAAATTCATTTTCAGTGGCTGTGGTTCTATTCTAGCCTCAAATATGTCTTTGATAGACCATCTCTGAACAGCCAATGTCTTCTGTCATGGGAAGCTCTCCAGCCAGGACTTTCTACTCTCTAGGATAGACTTGGGGATTCCATTCCTGCTGGACTGGGTATCTGGTTTCCCATAAAAGTCTAGAAACTGAGTTTTGTAAAAAAGCTGTAACTAGTTTGCTCTTCCTCAAGGGCTTGAATTATTGAGGTGGAGGGATGGCAGTGGAGTTGATTTGGGGAAAGAAGGAGATGTGTTCAAGTCCAGACTGCTTCTTAGGTCTGTGACCTTGGGCAAGTTACTTAACTTCTAGAGGCCCCAGTAAAATGCAGATAATAATAATATAGTACCTCTGTCATGAATTGTTCGGGAAATTAAATGGGAAAAAACATATAAACTCACTTAGTGCCCACTCAAGAAATGGTAGTTATAAAGGCACAGTCCTCTCAGCTCTTTACAATCCTGGTCGAGGTGATGTGTTGACTTGGTCACTAGTGTGTGGACTGGCCAGGGGCTAGGGATAGAGGTATATATCAACTTTGATCTCTGTCCACAAGGGCTTTATGGTATAACAGAAAAATAAGTCATGTCGGCGGGCATGGTAAGTTATTGTAGGCACCAAAGGTGAAAAACAGTGGCTTGTGATAACAGCACAAACCAGAGATGGTCAATTCTGAGAGGGTGTCAGGGATGGTTCCTAGTGAAACGAAACCTTGTGATGAGTTTTGAAAAGATAGGGCCCTGGGTGCACAAAGGGTATGGAGCATCCCGGGCACAGGGGGTAGGGAGGCACAGACACTGAGGCTTGCACCAGCTTCCTGGGGACTGCCACATACTCAGCAGGGATGGAGTGAAGGGTGTGAGGGAGAGAGGGCACAACTGGATAGCAGGATCGGAGCAGGGCAGATTTGGGAGGTTCTGTGGTACCATACCACTGAAGTTGGACTTTATCCTGGTGGGCCTTGGGGAGTCAAGGAAATATCTGTGAGAGATACCATCAGTCTTGTGTTTCAGAAAGGTCTCCCTGACTCAGGGACGAGGACTGAGGTTTGGAGCCAGACTGATATTGGTGTCTGCAGAGTTAGAGACAACTGCATAGATGTGTCAAACAATATAAGGCCCAAACAGGGCAATGACAATGGGAATGGGAGGGCAAGGCAGACTGGGGACATTTTAAAGAGCTCAGTGGAATGGTCTTGGTCTGCGATGGTGTGTGCATGAAAGGAGGGATGAACTGGTTTCTGGTTTCAGTACCAGGCTGATTATGGTGCCACGAGGATCAGAAATGCCATCGGAGGGATTTCGAAAAAGGTGATGGGCTCAGCTTTGAATGTGCTGACTTCCAAGTTCCTCTGGGGTAATGTCTAACAAAGTAATGGGCATGTGGTCCCATGGCACTGTGGCCACACATTTACTAGGGTCAAGAATCTTGGGCTGATGCTTATGAAGTGCTTATTCGGTACTGCGTGGTACATCTTTTGCAGAGACTACCTCATTAATTAATCCTCACCATAGCTCAGGGAAATGGGTACTATTACTATCCCATTTTACAGGTGAGGTAGGTGAGAAATAGTGAGTCAGGCCTCAGTGCCAGGCAGTCTGCTGCTTGAGGCTGCCTTGTTAATCATCACCCTATGCTGCCTCCAGAGAATTCTTCTGTAGAAAGCAAATGACCTCTGATGACCTCCTCTCTGTCCTCCATTCCAAGATCCTTTCCTGCCAAGATGGAAAGTCCCTCAACTTTCCTTCTCTTTGGGGTCTACACAAATCATATTCCCTGGATAACCTCCCAGTCTTCTCTGGATATAATATGCACACAATTATAAATGGTGTAAAGAGGGACAGGGGCAAGTCCTTTACCCCTTAAAAGAGAAGATGCGTCCTCCCCAGTGTCCCCACTCTGCCCGTCAATCTTGGACTTGCCAACTTCCACAAATCTCTTTTCTTTTTCTAGAGATTTGACTGTTCTTGATATAGGTGATTTTAACCCGACTTTATACTTGGTCTTGAGTTCTGAGTTTGGAGATGCTAGACTTATATGGGCCTACCTCTAAGGCAGAATGTCCAGGGCAGAGCACTTACTTTTTCTCTTCAGTTTCCTATTGTTCAAGTATAATAATACTTGCAACCCTGGGTTTAGGCTTAATGTTTATTAAGCATTTAAAAAATTTCAAATACTTATCACAGAGTGGGACAATGGATTAGACTAGCCAATGACATCTCAAAAAATATCCTGCACCGGGCTTGCATCCATTGTTAGTCTTATTTTATATAACCTCTAACATCTCAGAAATCCATTTATTTAATAAAGCTGATATTCTCTTGATTAAATTAATGAGTGTGTAATTTAAACCCACATAACTCTAAACCCTTTTTAAAACAAATAGCTTAATCTCTACCCTCACTTAGCTTTTAAACAGAATTCCAGTTCTGCTTTATTTTCTTAGCAGTGCCTTCCATACAAGTAACATTTCCCCATAATTTCCAATAAATTTCTATAAAAAATAAATTAAAAAATAAAAAGTCGACGCAGGTGAAAATGTTTAGCACTTTTCAAAGCATTTTGATTCTTTTGATTTTTACAATAAGGCCAGTGGGCCTTCCTCAGGTTTGCTGGTTGAAAATTATGAGTAATGGCCACATCAACAAAGGCTGAGATCCTGCTCTAGGTCAGGCAGTGTGCTAAGCTTTTTAACTGCTTTCACTCACTTATTTCCCCAAATGGCTCCATGAGGCTGGTAGTATAAATAATCCCCATTTCATGATGAGAAATCATTTATTATTCAGGGCCACACAGTGAGGAAGTAACACAGCCAGGATTTGAACCCAAGTCTGTTTGGGTGCAGAGTCTGAAAGCTTGCCTCATACATCCTGAGGATTTGAGTATAAAGCTCTGGATCTGTCAAATGTTCTTCTTTCTCTGCACACCTCCCCCCCCCCCCATCCCCCAATCTTTACTGCCAGGATTTTGGCTAACGTGTTGCTCATGACACATTACCAGAAGTTAAGTAAGGGAAGGAAGGGAGGCAGAAACACAGAAGGGAGACTGATTTATACAGAACTGCAACTCCAATGAAAAGCCAAGTGGGCGGTACACATTTTCTAAGTATTGTTTTAAAAAACGGGTTAGAATAATGTGGGCTTCAACTGCACACTCAGTGATTTAATCAAGAGATTATCAGCTATATTAAATAAATGGATTTCTGGGATATTAGAGGTTATATAAAATAAGCATATAACAATAGATTGAGAAGCTGTGTGTAGAAGGATGTTTTTGAGATATCACTGGCTAAGAATATCCATTGTCCCACTCTGGGCTAAGTATTTGAAATTTTTTTTTAATGCTTAATAAGCATTAAGCCTAAACCCAGAGTTGTCAGTACTATTCAGTTCCCTATTGTTCAAGTATAATAATATTATTATATACACAAATATAATAATATTACAAATATAATAATATTATTATACTTGAACAATAGGGACCTGAAGAGAAAAAGTAACTGCTCTGCCCTGGGCATTCTGCCTTGGAGGTAGGCCCATGTAAGTCGAGCATCTCCAGACTTAGAACTCAAGACCAAGTATAAAGTCTGGTAAAACAAATTAAAAAATTTAAAAAAAAAATCATATATATCCAGTATAGGCAAATCTCTAGAGAAAGAAAGGAGATTAGCTGTTGTCTAAAGCTAGGAGGTTTGGAGTAATGGTGATGGCTAATGGGCATGAGTTTTCCCTTGGGTGTGATTAAAATGTTCTAAAATTGATTGTGCTGACGGTTGCACAACTCTGAATTTACTACAAATCACTGAAATGAATACTTTAAATGGATAAATTAGTATGTGATTTATCAAAGCTGTTAAAAAAAGAATATGCTTTTGTTGGGGATGCGGCTCAATGGTGGAGAGGTTGCCTAGCATGCTGGAGGTCCTGGGTTCAATCCCCCGTAACCACCCCCCAAAAAAGAGGTATGTATACACACACACAGACACACACACACACACATACACACACACAAAAGAATATGTTTTTTAAAATTTATTTTCCTATGGTTTATCTAAATGATTTAAACTGATTGATGAAGTGGAGTTGATTATAATTTACACACTCTCAGGTCAGGGATGAAGGATACAGGTTTGTATACTTCCAGCTCAGGCATGACACCTGGCAGCGAGATGTTTTACTTTCTTGACTAAGAGAAGCTCAAGAAAGACCTAGATTTTTTTTTTTTTTTTAAATTTGGCAATGGACCTCGCCTCTTATGGTAACCCCCTTCTTCCCCTACTGTGTTAGGCTTTTGGCACCTTTAGCCCTGAAGAACAACTTCAGTCTGAGCAATTAAAATACTTGTTATAAAGTTGAGAGTCAATACACTGAAATCCATGAACTTTATTACACAAAAAGGCTCAGACTTGCACTCTTGAGTTTGTGTTTGGTTAAAAAAAAATAAATTGGAACACACAGGTACCTATTTCCTCAACTGGAATAAATCAGGAGTTGCTGACTGTGAAAGGAAGATTACTGGAGGAAAACTGATACCAGGGAGAAGAGACTGCTAAAGACCAGGGATGAAGCTCAGTTAAAGCACTGGCCTACAACCAAAGAAAAGGTGACTGCTCACAGGTACAGTGGTGCATGCCTGCAATCCAAGCGGCTTTGGAAGCTGAGGTAGGAGGATTGCAAGTTCACAGCCAGCCTTAGCAACTTAGCAAGGCCCTAAGCAACGTAGTGACACCCTGTTTCTAAATAAAAAATAAAAAAGACTGGGGATGTGGCCCAGTGGTAAAATGCCCCTGAGTTCAATCCCTAGTATTAAAAAAAAGTGGATGCACAGAGGCTCCTGGAGTTCAGATGCAAATGGCCCCACCTGGGGCGCTTCTGAATCAAGAGGAGACTAAATGATTTATAATGCTGTTTATTCCCCCACAGACTCATCCAACAATGCTGGGCCATTTTACAGGTAGGCTTTGGAGATTCAGAACCTGGAGCTTAGAAGACTTTTATGGGGGGTGGCTACAAAAATAAAAAGTTAATCCATGTCTCCCAAATAAAAATTGATAAACATGCAATTAAATAGCTATAAAATATAACATCTTGCTAACTTTATTAATAGCTAAATTTAGTATTCATTAAATATTTTTTTAATTTTTTTTTAGTTGTAGTTGGACCTTTATTTTATTTATTTATTCTTATGTGGTGCTGAGGATCCAACTGAGCGCTTTGCACCTGCTAGGGGAGTGCTCTACCTCTGAGCCACAACCCCAGCCCTAGTATTCATGAAATATTGATGACACCTGAAAATAATTTGTAGGTTTGATTTTTCTCACTACACAAGAGCTACTGACCATAGATGACAATTGCAGAAAAGACATGGTCTAAAGGTAAATTCATAGCTAAACAGTTTAATAAGAAATATTATGAAATTCCCTTCAAAATTTTTATAATAAAAGTCTCTATATATTGTGCTCTGTGGATGCATTTTAATGTGTGGTATGATTGAGAGTGGCCGAGAGAGTGCTAAGTTTGTAGACTGGCCAGAGACTCGGGTCCCTTCCCCTGCAAACCCTCCCTCTGTGCCTCTGGAACTCCACTCCATGGTAAATCAGCTCCTCTTCCTCCTCCACCTAATTCAGGGTGTTCCTCTCTCTGCCTCAATTTTCCCAGCACCCCCTCCTGGTGGAAACGGGGCCCCCTCCCACACCAGCACTGGAGTGGGAAACAGGCCTACCTGGCTTTTCCAGACCACTGCAGTCCATTCAAGTGTATAAATCTCTGCTCCTTCAAAAGTCAGGCCACCCCACCTCTCAGCCTTTACTCCACCTCACCTGGTAGTTGTCACATAATCAAGTTTGGTGTGAAGTTGGGCAGCTTCCTTTCTACTCACCCCAAATCCTGACCTCATCCTGGCCTTCCCTTTACAAGACACCGGTGTTCAACTTCATTTCCTTTCCTTTTATCCCGATGGGAGAGGTCCCCACCTTCCCAGCCCATCCCTCCAGCTAAGGGATCCCTGCTGGGCTGCTATGCCCCTGCCCCAGGAATTCAGTCACTCAGCCCAATATTCCCTCTACTCCAAGCCGTCTAGCACACCCTGTCATCATTTTAAAATGCTTTTTCATTGAGAAATAACTCACATAGCACCCAATTCATCTTTTCAAAGCATACAATCTGGTGGACTTGGGTATATTCATGAGGCTGTGCAACCATCAGCACTATCTAGTCTAGAATATTTTATCACCCCCCCCAAAAGAAACCTCACACCCATTAGCAATCATTTCCCATCTCCTCCTCTCCCCCAGTCCCTGACAACCACTAACCTATTTTCTGTCTGTATGGATTTGCCTACTTTGGACATTTCATATAAATGGAATCATACAGTCTGCTCTTCCTTCACTCTACATACTACTTTCAGGGTTCATCTATGTTGTAGCGTGTATTTGTGCTTCATCCTTTTTATGGCTGAAGGATATTTCATGGTATGGATATACCTTGTTTGTGTCCCTTCCAAATTTATATGTTGCAGCTCTAACTGTCAGCGTCTTGAGGGCATGATCCCTGCCCCAGTCAGTCCAGAAGGCAGAGCATCAAACCCAACAGCATTACTCTCCACCCTTAAAATCTAATGGCATTTTCCATGCTAGGTTTTACACCTGCTTGGAACCCATCACCCCTTTCTTCCTCCCAGTTCTCTGTTTTGGAGATGTCTGTCTCAACATTATATTTTGTAAGCACATAACTCGTTTGCTTTCACAAGCTCACAGCTGGAGGAAAATCTGCCTCAAGATGAATCAATCATACCTCAAGTGTCACCTCGAGTGTCACCCATATCTGATTGATATGAAATTTAGATGACACTTCAACTTTAGAGTTGATGTTGGAACAAATGAAGGCTTTTTATTTTGCATAAAATGCAATATATTTTGCATGCAAAAAGAACATAGATAGCCAAGACATGGAATCAGCCTAGGTGCCCAACAACAGATGAATGGATAAAGAAAATATAGTATAGATACACACACTATAGTATTATTCAGCCATAAAGAATAAAATCATGCCATTTTTCAGGAAAAATGGATGAAAGTGGAGAACATCGTGTTAAGTGAAATAAGGCAGACTGAGAAAGTATTATATATTTTCTCTCATATGTGAAAACTAGAAAGAAAAAAAGCACAGAAAGTAAAAGAGGGTTAAGGAGGGTGAGAGAGGGAAGGGCTCAAGGACATAGAAGGGAGGATGGACATGATCAAAGCATGAAATGTCTATGCCTGGAAATGTCACAGTGAAACCCATTAATTTATACAATTAATTATAATAAATAAATATAGCTCAGAGGAAAAAACTACAGGAACATTTATTGGAGACAATTTATTGGACAATCTTGGAGGCCAGGAAATGTTATAGATTGAATGTTTATGTCCTCCTCCTGAGATAGGGACTTAAAATAAAGAGAGAATACTGAATCTTAAAGGAAATACCCACAAGCCATTGAGATGCAGAGAGCACAGTTGTATATCTTGGGCAACATGCCTTTGGCTCATACCCTTGTAAAATGAGGGAAACACCCAAGCACAGGGAAAACTGGCATGAAATTGTGCAGGTCCACTCTGGCTCTGCCTTCAGTCTGGCCCCTGAAACAGTCCTTTTATAAATATTGGACCCCCAGCCCAAGGCAGGGCTGCTTCTCACTCTCAAGATAGCCCACATTCTCCCTTGAATGTGTATCTACTTTCCTAAATAAACCTCTGTCTATGTTTGGCTCATGCTGAAATTCAAGTATGCCAGGAACCCAGTTGGTCCTGAGGTGAGTTCCCCTCTTCCTCTGGGAACTCTTCAGATCCTTTTCTAGAGACATCTGTTCTCTTGTGTCATTACTAAATTTGTACGTTAAAGTCCTGATCCCCAATGTGATGGCATTAGGGTCTTTGGGAGTTGATTATGTTTTGATGAGGTCCCACGGGTGGAGCCCCTGATGGGATTAGTGCCCTTACAAGAAGAAAGAGACACCTAAGTTTTGTCTCTTAATCATGTTAAGAAACAGGGAGCAGGTAAAAATCTGCAAGCCAGCAAAAGGTCTGCACCAGACACCAAATCTGCAGGAAACTTGATCTTGGACTTTCCAGCCTGTAGCATCAAGGGAAATATTTGTGGTTTAAGTCCACCAATCTACCTTATTTGCAATACATAATATATCACCAGTTGATTGACATTCAAATTGTTTCCACTTTTGATTCATAACCATTAATAATATGGTTATGAATATGCGTACAAGTTTTTGTGTGAACATATGTTTTTATTTTTTCCTGTGTATATAACTAGCAGTGGAATTGCTGGGTCATTTGTAACTTGTTTTAAACTTCTGAAGACAGATCGACTTTTTTTTTTCTTTGAACGACTGCAACATTTTACATTCCTACCAGTAATGTATGAGGGTTCCAATTTCTCCCCATCCTTGCCAGTACTTGTCATTGTCTGTTTTGCTGATTAGTCATCCTAGTGGGGGTAAAGTAGTTTCCTATCATGGTTTTGATTTGCATCTCACTGATGATGGCTAATGATGTTGCGCATTGTTTTAGATGCTTATTGGCCATCTATCTGTACATCTTCTTGGGAGAAATGTCTATTCATATCCTTGCCCATTTCCAAATTATCTTTTTATTGTAGAGTTGTCAATCAGCATTTAAAGATGTTCAAGTTTCTACTGCTGTAAAGCCAATAAACCCTTGGTCAATTCTGGTTCCCCACTGTAACCAATACTTTAAAATAAAATAAAATAAAAATCCCATTTCTTGCACAATGTCTTGAAAATGTTCCCTACACTTGAGGTTTCCACCCATTCTCTTTTCAAGCTGTTGCAATCTGGCTCCTGAAACTAGCGTTTTTGAAACTGTTCTTGGCAAGGTCATGGGTGGCTGTTCTGTTACTTTTGCACTCTTAGCTTGAGTTCACTGTGGCCTTGAACACTAAGTGACAGTGTGCTTCTGATTTTTCTCATTCATCTCTGGCTGCTGTTTCTCATTGGGTTTCTCTTACTCTGCTCATTCTTAAATTTTGATCTTCAAGATTTTTGTCTTCATTACCAGGTAATCACTTCATTCCCATGAGCTCAATTACCTCTTAATGCTGCTGACTCTGAAATCTCATCTCCATCTGCTGCCTAGATTTTTTTCCTGAGTTCCCGGTAAGCTAATCAACACAGCTGCTTGGATTCCCATCTATCCTCAAACTTTGCTCCAAACCAAAAGTTTCATGTTTTAAACCTCTCCTGCCTTCTCTATTCAGCGAATAAGATCAATTACTGAATTAAATAAATTTTGAGTCATTCACCTCTGTCTCCTTCTATCCTCACTGCCTATTATGTCCTGATCCAGTACCATTTATTGAGATGACCACAACGTCCTCCTGATTGGCCTCCCAGTGCCATGCTCTTCTCTGCTGTAGCCAGTGATCTTTCTAACATGCTAATGTTGCCATGTCATTCCTGGGCTTCCATGAGCTATTGTTAGAGATAGGACTACATTGGCTTCAGAGTCGGACACTCCAGTTTCAGACTCAACACAATGAATTTTACAGCTGCAAGATCTTGGGAGAGTTATTTCACTTTTCTATACCTTAGTCTCCTTGTTTTTAAAAACAGTTGGGTCACAAAGAGCACCATCTTATAGGCCTTCCCAAAGACTGGTTCAGCCTGGTATATTTTAAATGCTCAATCCATGTTAACTATTAATATTTTTATTAAAACCTTATTAAAAAGGTTTGTCTCCATGCAAACCATTTAATTCCACTCTCAGCCTCAAATGTGGGAATAAATAGGATGATTTTAATAAACTCTTCTAAGACAAGACTCTTTTGGGACACAGAAGCTTGGTCATCAATTGCAGCTCCTCTCAGTGCTGGACATTCGGCTGCAGTGTCCAGAAAAAGTATTCTGAGGAGGACACAGCAGCGAGAGCTGGAGGACGCAGAGGTTCGGGTTCAAAGAATCCTGCAGCTGCAGGAAAGCGCTGGCCGCCTGCTTCTTCCCCGCCTCCACCCGCGACCTGTTACCCCGGCGACAGTCACCACCACCCAGCTCACCTGACCTGCAACCATAAGTGCAGAAAGCCTTTCCAGCAAAGCGGACAAGCAAACCACAAACCCACAGGACGAGCCTCAGCCCCACTTCTTTCTTCCTGGCGGACAGCCAGGGGCGAGGGGCAGCGCCCCACCCCACCTGCGGGCCGAGCGGCGGCGGCTCTGGAGGGCACGGGGTGCTGGCTCCGCCTCAGTGGGGTCGGCCGCTGGGTCGGAGCTCCCCCTCCCGGAGCCCGCGTCGCTCACCTTGAAGGACATCTTGCACATGTCCGCGACCGGCAAGAGCCCGAGCGCTGGGGCGCCGGGATCTCCCCGTCCTTCCCCTCTCCCTCCGCGATCCGCAGAGGGGCGGCCCCCACGGCGCCGCGCGCTCCCGCCGCCGGGCCGGACTGCCGCGGCCGCACACTGAGCCGCCCCGGCAGGCGGGTGCTCGGGCCGCGGAGGGCGGGGAGGCAGCGCGCCTCGGCCGCCCGTCCTGGGCCCTGCGGAGCGCTCCGCTGGCGCGCGCGCGCACTGCGCACAGGATGCCGCGTTGCACACTCCACTCTGCGCGTGCACACACCGCCACATATTCCAAACTCAGAGGGCACTGTGCATACTTTCCGCACTCTGGACACACGACACCCTCACACTCATGTCCATACACCCACACTTACACACACACCCCATACTCTCCCAACTCCACACACTGTGCAGGCACCATGTTCCACACACCTAGGGTCACACACAACTCCACACTCATGTTCACACACCCACATTCCTTACACGCCCACACCCTATTCATAAGGGCAAACTCTGCACACACCCAAGTTCCACACATAAAGCTCTCCA